TGCTGGCCGACCTCCACTACGGCAAGGCCGTGACGCTCTTCCAGCTCCTGAAGGACACGCCGTGCGAGCTGCTGAGAGTGCAGCTGGAGCGGGTGGCATTGGCGGAGTTTCAGATGGCCGGTGAGTCCCCATGCCCGCCCGGGCCGGTGGGCCTGGGCCGGGGCTGGACTATCTCGGGGCTGGGCGGGCTGTGTTTTTTCAGGGGCATGAGGAATATTGGTTTTTGGTTTTGGATGGTTTTTTCCCCCACAGTGACTTTGGGTGGAGACCAGAAGTCTCTACACTTTTCGAAGTGCTTTTTAAAACTTAGGGAAATGGATTAGATTATGTTCGATGACTAGCAATGTTGAAATGTAGCCCACAAGCCTGTACTTGAAAAATTGTGACAAGCCGGTGTAGACAAAGATGTAAGTCACAGCGGACAACTCAGGGAGGGAGGGCCAGTGGTGAAGGAGAGGCGGTCCCCTGGAGTCCCCGCCCACAGCACCTGGTGGTGTGGGCGGGGCCTGCGCAGACCCTGACAGGGTCAGAGTGCTGGCTGGAGCCTACACAGGGCAGCCTCCGCGGTGGGGAGCGGGTCTGCAGCTCAGAGGGCTCGTCCCTGCGTCTCCTCGCTCTGTTCCACCAGCTCCTTCCGCACGGGCCCGGAGAAACTCCCGTGTGTGCAAAGCCACCAGAAACAGCTGTTCCGAGTGACGGCAGTTCAGTTGTGTTCACGTCAGCTGTTTTCTTCCATAACGTTAAACAAGGGAGGCACTTGGCCCACCCATGACTGCGCAGTAGCCTTGGACAGAGACCCAGAAACCCGTGACAGGCGTTGCCGCCCCTGGGGGGCCTGGGGCCCGGAGGAGGCCCCACCCACTGTGTGCAGGTCTGGCCTGTGTGCATCAGGAGAATGGATTACCTGTTTAGAACGGTTTCCAACATGCTTTTCACTGAAAGTATTTTGGTAACTTCTGGCCACTGTGTAATGCCTGTCTGGGTGTGGGGGGGTGCTGTTCTCGTGGTCTTTCTGCATTTCCATCTTTGAGTTTTCTGCATGTTTGAACTTAGAATGAGCAAGCATCATTTTTATAAAAAAGAATAGATACTGGAAACAAATTTGCTAAGATGGCAAGTATAGTTAATTCCCATTTAGTTGTTCCGTGCCCTGAGTACCTGAGGAAAGTAGTGTGAACATTTGGGAGAACGGGCTGGTGGCCAGGTCACTAGATGCTGTGGTTCGCCGCACCTTCCGTCTCTCTCACGGCACCCGTGGTTTTTCTGTAGTGCGGAGGACCGCGCTTTGGCTTCCGCATGCTGTTACTGCCCGCGTGTTGTGACCCCGCTGCCCCCAGTAGTGTTCCCACAGAGTCATCTGCCAGCCTTCCGGATGCCGAGACAGCGGGGTGCTTGTGCTGTGAAGTTACTGCATTCACAGAGTTGTGGGTCCCCACGGCCACTTCACACCAGCTGTGACTCTGAGGGTCTCAAAGACCGACCCCCTCGGGCGACGTTTCACTGGGGGGGCTCACAGAGCTCACTGAAGCTGGTGCACTTGCAGCCTCTCGAGAAGCTCTGGTTGTCCCCTCTGTGGAGGCATGGACAGCACTCAGTGTGCCCAGCAGCAAGGCGTGACCATGTGCACAGAGCATTTCCCGTGGGGCAGGTCACGCGGGCCTCGTGGTCAGGTTTTTACTGGGGCACCAGCGCAGCATTTACGAGGCTACTTAGAGTGGCCTGGGGTCCCCCAGGTCTACACAGACCTCTATCGGGGTGTCCAAGAGCGTCCAGATTACCCCTGGGAGCCCAAAGCCAGGACCAGGTCTGTTGGGACAAGGTCAATGCCCTGCAACACATCCCCACACACGACGGAACTCAGGCTTCCACAAGTGGGGCAGAGGTGCTCAGCAGTGTCTGGCGGCTGACGGGCAGCTTGCTCGAATCCTGGCATGAGCGAGTTTGGGCTCAGTGGCCGGCCCCCTGCTTTGCATGGGGAGTGGGTGTACCTGTCCTCCCGGGAGCACGGCGGACCCTCCATGCCCCGGAGACTTGCCCCGAGTCACAGAACCGGTCCACAGCGGGCGGCCACGCCTGGCACTCAGGCACTGGCTCTTGCCCCGCATAGCAGTGCTCTCAGTGGGCAGAACCAGATGGCGTGGCCCGGGACAGTCACTCCCTGTTGCTGTGCCCAGACCATTTCCCTCGAGGGATAATTACCACGGAAGAGTCGGGATTGCATTTGTGTAGGTCTTGTCTTGAGTCTCCTGTCTGCAGCATCTGAAAGGCAGACGTTTTACTAGCACGTTGACATTGAACAGGCCTCTAGGTTTGTATTTACAGACATGACCGTTCGTGTTTAACTCTAGGTCAGAACAGCAATGTGGGAAAACTAAAAACTCTGTCCGGGGCCCTTGACATCATGGTGAGAACGACGCATGCGTTCCAGCTCATCCGAAAGGAGCTTGTAGAGGAGTCGGGCCAGGTGAGTGCAGAAAACGTTTCATCTAAGTGGTGAATGTGTACAGTGAGCATGTGGCCGGGGGGGGGGGTTGGTGGCAGTGTATGGATGGATAACTCTTTTAATTTCAAAGTGCATCTTTTTCTTTAACCCTCACCTGAGGACATGCTTACTGATTTTAGAGAGAGGGGAAGGGAAAGAGAGAGAAACACTGATGTGAGAAAAACCATTGATCAGTTGCTTCTTGTACACTCCCCAATTTGGGACCAAACCCAGGCTTATGTCCTGACTAGGAATCAAACCTGCAACCTTTGGCTTTACTGGGTGATGCTCCAACCAAATGAGCCACGTACGTGGCCAGGGCTACAAGTGTGTCTTTTACATTTTAAAAGGACCACGTGGACCTTGGTTAGTAGGGCCCTTGGAGTGTAGCCCCGGTTAAGTTTGGTTTTAGTGTGTGTGCTTCGTTGGGACAAGGCCTGCGCCTTCTTGTGATCTCTACGGCACTGCTGGCCGTGAGGGTGCAGCAGGACCCCTGGGGAGGCCTCTCCAGTTCGCTGGCGCTCCAGCCCCCATGCTGCTGCTGTCCTGGCTGAGACCTGTGAGGTGTGACACGGTTTCGAGTTTGTTAAAGTGCTCTGGGGAGGGAGGAGAAGGAGAAGGTGGCCTGGTCACTGCCACCACCACTGCCGCCAGCGGTGCTGTCCCTGACAAAGGTCTCGGCGTGTTGGCTGTGGACTCTGGTCTGGCTCACCGGGTTGATGGAGCTCAGCCGGCCACTTCACTGCGGGCTGCAGCTGCCAGGAGACCTGGGTGAGCCAACTTCTCCTTGTTCCAGCCCAAGAGCGATGGGCCCTCCCCAGCGGCTGACTCGGCTCCTAGTCTGAACCGAGAAGAAGCGCTCAAACTCCTCAGCATATTTGAGTCCCGGCTGTCCTTCCTGCTTCTGCAGTCCATCCGGCTGCTGTCTCCAGGCAAAAAGAAGGCGAGGTGAGTCCTACCGTGGTTCTTCCTCAGCACCTGGTCTGCGCAGGGGACACGGGTGATCCGCTGAGGCGGTGAGAGGAGAGGTGGTGCTCTTCCCTCAGCCCCGGGGTCGGCCCCGGGCTTCCTGTGCACACGGCTCCCTGCAGAACTGCCTGGGGCCTGGCGCCTGAGGGCCTTCCTCACAGACCCTTCGCAGGACATTTCAAATACTCGGAGGAGCAGTAGCTCTGAGAGTCAGGAGTCTGGGCTTCGGGTCCAAGGTAATTGTCGAGCCAGGGAGGCAACCCCACAGTTGCTCATCCTGTGCTGGTTAACACCGCCTGGGGGTCCTCGGGCCGGGGCGGGGGGGCTGCCGGCGGTGCTGGGAGCCCCCTGTGCCCCGCCTGTCTCCCCATGTTCTCCCGACGCCCTTTTCTTCCTGTTCACTGCATGTCTGCCCCACCAACCCATCCCCTGGCCCCCCGGGCAGAACACAGACGACGGCGTGAAGGCCGGACCTCTGGTCTGGTCTGCTCTGCACGCACACCCTAGACACCCGAATGTGTGTAAAAGGAACGAACGTTGGCTTTAATCGATGTGTGAGATGAATGCCTAGACAGGCCCCCAGCAGCAGCTCAACCGGGAGGCGCGGAGCAGGCCTTCACAGAGCGCCGGCCCCCTGCGGGAGGTGGTGGTGGGCCTGCTCCTGCTGGGGCCTCTTTCTGGACGGTGGTGGACATGGCTCTTCACGGTCTCCTTTTCCGTTTCGCCCTGTTTGTAACCCAGCAGTGACATGGAAGGAGACGCAGCCCTCAGGACCAACAAGCACGTCTACTCGCAGCTGCTGAGGGCTTCCGCTAACAGAGACACAAGTCTCTTGCAGAGAGTCGACGTCCTCCTGCACCTGCTGGGCCAGCTCGCCGGGGGCAGCGCCACCCAGTGACTCCCCGGGCCCGTGTCCTCGCAGGTGCAGCCCGTGCCTTCCGCTCTCGGGCACCCCCGCCCCTCGGTGCTTCGTTAAATTAAACGCACAGGAAGTGCCACTCCCAGCAGGCACCGCTGCGGGAACGCAGCGTCCTCGTTGCCATGGCAAGGCCGGTCGGCTGGCGTCTGCGGCTTCCTCATGGACGGTGTGGGACCAGCGCCGGCGCTGCTTCCTTCGAGGGGAGTGTGGTGCTTGGTGTCAGTAGCCTTGCTGGGATGCAGCACACCTCTAAGTACTTTGAAGTATGTTGAAGCCACGTGGGTTTAAGACGCAGTTGTTTTGGGTAAATGTCACTTTGGGTCAAGGGAACTTTTTCATCCCTGTGACCCTGGTGGTTCAGGTGGGTTAAACCTACTGCGCCGCCTCCTGAGCGGCGTGGAAGGAAGAGATTGGCCCTTCCTAAGCCCGAGGCTGGGCGTTTGAACGCCAGGTGTCGCGTGGTTGTCTGTCAGTCAGTGCATGTGCTGAAGGGCCCCGTTTGCTTTGGCCTTGGTGGGGAGCTGGTCAGGGACAGGCACTGCCCTTTTTTATTTTAAACTTGAAACTGTGAATAAGGTAAGAAAACTATTTTGAGTAAATAAATTATTTATTTAAAATAGCTGGCTTTTTCTATTTCACATTCTTCACGTTGAGTTTTGATGTGAACTCGTTTAATTAATTTTACAAAGTAAAGATTAAAACAATAAAAGTCAAGTCCTCCCATGCACCGGACTCTCACCAGGATATTATACTTAGTACTTGGCACGCGGCCGCGTCCAGGAGCACACGGACGTACCGCGTTGGCACTTCCTGGTGGACAGTGCAGTGCTTGCAGGGGGACGGCTGGGTTTCCGTGCATGACGTCGCAGTGCACGGGAGCGTGCCCATCAGTGCTGGCCAGGTCACCGTCCCTGCAGACTCTGCGCCCCGCCCGCCTGGCAGCCCCTCCAGGTGCACCCCTGTGAAGGGCTCTGAGCTGTGCTAGGGAAGTGGGTGGAGTAGGCTCGTTTTAAGATGCATTTTTACAAACTGCTTTCTCGTGCACTGAGGTTTTCAGGTGTTCTTGACAGTGAGCTGACCCTCTGGTAGAGATGGCAGGACTCTCTTGCCCTTTGTCCACGCCCTTGTTGTTGGTTTGCGTTGTCCTTAGGACAGATTTGCATCCATTTTCAAAAATTGGGCAGGGAAGCATTTAAAGTTTTGATTACACCGGAAAACAGCTGTATGAAGTCAGCAAATGCCTCTTGTTGGGACAGCTGTCACTGTTCCCCTGGGCAAGCACTTGGTGCCTGTCACTGTTCCACTCGTCAGACCTGCGCACGGAGAAGCTACCTCGTTTGGATGAAGGGTTTCAGAACGGGCTCCCATGTCTGCAGGAGGGAGCTGGAGGCGGGGACGGGAGTCTCTGCTCAGCCCAACAGCCTTGCAGTCGAGAGGAAGGTGTGTTTTTAAGCGAGAAGATACTCATCCCATCCATCCTGTGTCAAAGTAGCAGTGTGAAATTGTTACAGGGCGGTGGGGGAGGCTTGCAAAATGTGTGTAATTTGCTGATCTGGGTTTAAATAAGCATAAAAATGCTGTGTTCTAGCTGTTCCTTGAAAGGAGTCCGGGTGGGGGGCCTGATCCTCCGGACAGCCGAGTCTTCGCCAGCCAGTCGGTGTCAGTGCCAGAGTTCCGCCCCCGTCATCACGTGCGGACGTCGGGGGTTTCGTTCGTTATTAAGAGGCTACATTATGTGAAAGTCGGAGGGACATGTGCCTGCCTTGGAGGTGGTGGTTACAGGGAAACGTCCAGTTAGCCCTCGGGACAGAAACAGACCTCCACAAAAAGTGTCTCTTGCTCTGAAGGGGCTGAGCTTGGAAGCTCTCTGTCCAGGACCGTTTGCGATGCAGGCCTGTATTCGAGCGAAGAGCACCCCAGGAACGGACAGTGTCCGGGCACCAGGCCCGAGTGAGGAGGGGGGCGTCAAGAGCAAGCACTGCGCCTGAGTTCCGCAGGTCCCTTAGGGAGCCGCGCCGTCTGTGGTTGGACCCCGGGCTGGACGTGTTGGACGTCGGTGGGGTGGTGGCCAGGCGTGTTAAGGGCGGGGCTGCAGAGCCCTGGCGACCGTGGAAAGGAGCCGATTCCTCAGCATTTCTCTTAACCTTTCTAAACAAATTTTGTAAAATCGGTGGAATTATTTTTTGTGTAACTGATTTTTAGATACCAAGTATTTTAAAAGTTCAGTGATACTTTCTCCATTGGTTTTAACTTAGCCCTATTCGCTTCGGTTAGTGGAAGTCTGGTGGGTTTTCTCTGTGAAAGAAATCTGACTCTCGGAAGAGAAACCCGCCGCTCCCTCCACGCGCCCGCACCTCTCACGACATGTCCAGCGTGGAGGCGTGGACGTCGCACACGTCGAACCACTTCCGGGGGATGGGCTGCCGGGGGAACACGCCGTTGGGCGGGAGCCCCGCGCGCCGCTGCCGGTCCCCGTCACTCGCCACTTTCCAGTACGCGCTGCCTTTGAGCAGGAAGACCGCCTTGTGCGCGTAGGAGTAGTACGCCGCGTCCAGGTCCCGGAGCGGGTGGTCCCGCCGCTCTATCGCCGGGAAGGCGTCCGCCAGCTCCTTCGGGTAAGACCCGAGGACTCGGTTCCTGTTGACGTCGAACGCGAACACCTGCAAAACGAGGAAGCAGGACTGGCTCTTCTGAAGACCACCGATTCAGGGCAGTGAGGCCAGCAAACCTGCGCCTTCACCCCCAAGTCCTTGGGCTAAACGTTCTGAATAATGTCCCACGTGATGGGACGATCTGCCACGGCCGTAGTGGCCGGAGGCGACCGCGCAGCTCTCAGCTGAGAACCTGGCCGCCTGGAGAGGTCAGTCAGGGCGGACACAGCATCACCAGGCGGCAAACCCCACTTACGAGGGACCCTCTGAAGAAGTAAATCAGCTGCCTCCTCCGGTCGTAGAAGGCGGTGTCCAGGGGACTGGGAATGCCCGGAAATCCTTCCGAGATCGACCTGGGGTAGCGTTTTCCTTGCTCGTCTTCCGTGTGGGCCTGGTCCCTGTCGCTGTCGTATCTCCAGTATTGCGTCCCTGAGAGCCAAACAAAAAAACGTCACTGTGGCTCATCACGGGTAAATCAGGAATGGCAACACCGCCAGATTTCCACACCGGTCCCAGCGTGCCTGGCGGTCCTGGCGCCCTGCGGGGGACAGCGGGACTGGCAGCATCGCGTGAGATGCTCCCCCTGCCCCACGGCTGCTTTCTCAGGTCCTGAGTCACTTCTGGTTGGGCCCCAGCAGTGGTCACCAACACCCGCTGCAGTTCAGCACTTCTTAAACCTCTGGAAGATGCCCCCCCGACTCTGAAATACCCCAGCGACAAAAGCCCCCTGGAGACCATTTCCTCATGTAACTGAACTAAAGGTATTCTCTGTGCGACGTGAAGGGAAACTCAGACGAAATTTATCCCCAGATTCCTCACGGCAGAATCTGTGCCAAGTCCTTTTGGGCTGGCTGTGTCCTCGTCAACTCTCCGAAACATCTAAACTTTAGACTCCAAAGCAGTGTGGTTGCACTACCAGGAAATAGGCAGCAAGGGGGAGAAAAGGCAGCAGCCACAACTCCGTGTTCGTGATGAGACTCCCTGGGTCCGGCTCCCAGAGGTGCCTGCTGGCCTGGCCACTCACCAAGCCCTGCAGGCCCCCCCCTCCGCAGCTGCCTCCCGCAGCACTCAGAGCCTCCCTGCCCAGGAGCTGCCGCCCATACCCCCCGGTCGCTACCTGCTGGCTAATGCCTGGGCCTGGGCCTGGTGCTCTGGCCTCTCTGTGCTGGGCCTGACCCTGCTCTTCCAGCCTAACCCTGTCTCCACCAGGACTTCCCTGTCTCATGGACAGGCCTGCTCACGGCCAGGTCTGGGGCCGTGAGCCTGACCCCCACTGCCTCCCCCACAAGCCACTGCAGGTCCTGCCATCTGTCCAGTCTGGGCCAAGCCCTGACCCCTGGGTGGCTCTAGCACCCTATTCTGGGTGACAGTGACCAGCTCTGCTTATTGTGCCAGTTCAAACGGACTCTTCCTCTCGTGGGCTTCTAAGCTGGTTCTCTCTCCAGGCTCAGATGGGAACTTCTGTGGGGGTGGGGCCCTTTCTGACAGCTGTTGGGCAGGCCCCTCAGAGCCCACGCAGTGGTCGCTCACGCACGCACTCAGTCGTGAGCATCCGGCGCCTGGTTGAAAGGATGGGGACCCAGCACGAGCTCGGAGAGCACACAGTCTGATGGAACAGGTGGGAATTAAGTGCTTTCCGGAGCATCACAGAGGCTTCCTCAGGGAGGGCCCACAGCCTTTGTTCTGAAAGCACCTGTTTGAGAAATGGGGCCGTGCGAGGACCTCTACCTTTAAAAAAGTAACGTTCGTCTCTTCCCCACGTCCAGACGTGGACAAAAGCGTCTATGTCTTGCGCCGGGACTCCGTGCCAGCCAGTGAGGATGAGGATGGGGTCCCCGTAACGGGTCCGGTTGTTTCGATTTTCATAAAGCCAGTACCAGCTGCGGCGGAAGAAATAGGTGCTAAACCTCACCGTCACCTCTCCGTGGTGGTTTCTTTCTCTGCGAATCCAGTCAAATACGGTGTCAAATGCACCTTCACAGGAACCTTAAAAAAAAAAAAAAAGGTCCAGCCCATGACACCTGGTCCAAAAACCAGCGGTTCCTACTCTCCTGGGTGACTTGTACAGAGACACTGCTAGGCTGAAGGTTTCCACGAAGACACCTTAAAGCCAGACACCGTGCGGGAGTGGAAGTAGACCCCTGCCCGGCGGAGTGCAGGGAGCAGGAGGCACCCGGTGGTCCCCAACAGTCCTGGGCACAGCAGCCCCTCCGGCTCCGTTATAAACCGCCCTGGGCCACTGTCCAAAGGGCCTGTGCGGGGAGGCTAGTGACATGGCCGCATTAAGTACAGCTGACGCCTGCTGATGGCTGCTCCGACTTCTCTGCAGGGAGGAGGCTTGGCTCTGGGCACGGATGAGGGAGACACTTCCGAGGGAGACAGGGGCGTCCTGGGGTGCTGCCGAGAATGGGGTACTGTGGGCAGCACTGAAACGGGGAGGGTCCCTGCTCCAGGTGGAAAAGCGGAGGGTAGCTCCCTTCCCTGCAGCTGCGGAGCTGAATCCAGTCCTCACTTCCATCAGATAATTAACCGCCGGCCCTTGGGTCTGAACAATCAAACGGGCATTACAGCTTGTCCTGGCCACGGCCACGCTGTTCTTTGCCTGAGATTACGGACGACTTCTTCCAGTGGCTTCCAGCTCCCGTGGCTCTCGGGGGGGGGGGGGGCATGTCTGGGCAGCCAACTGTGTTTAGAAAACCATCCTGTCCCAGGAACGTGACATATCGTGAAAGGGGACAGAGAATGAGTAAATGCAAGGGTGTGCGCAGACTGCCTTTCACAAGGACTGACTCGCGGAGCCGCAGAGCAGCTGCCCAGGGGCCCCAGGGCGGGGGAGCCGTGGGGTCCTCTCCACCCAGCAGTCTCACCGTACAGCTTTTGGATGGCTTTCCTGTCCGACCAGTCCAGCTCCAACGCAGGCCCCTGGGGAATGTAATTCGGCTGCATTATGGATCCTGCCCTGTAGCTGTGCGGCAGGCCGAGGACATGGCCGATTTCGTGGACAGCCACCTAGGAGGGGACACACACCACCGATGTAGTGCAGCCCTGGTCATCTGGGCGCCACCCCCCCACCCCCGGGGGGCAGGCTGCTCTGGGGAGGAGCTGTGCTGGGTGGGGAGGAGAGCTTTCTCGGGGGGACAGGGGCACTTCCGCAGATAGGCCCTGGCCCGCTCCCCCCCACCCGCCCATACATCTCTGCCCTTTGCTGCCTCGTCACTGTGACGGGCACCCAGCACGAGACCACTGACCTTGAGGAGGCTGATGCCCATGTCACTGGTGGGAGGGGTGAAGTGCTCATCATCGTCGAAGTGAATGTCGCCCAGGCGCCAGGCGTGTGCAAACTCCTGTCCACTCCCATCAAAAACCCGAGGACAGCCCAGGTGCCGGCCTGGCCAGGGGAGAAGGAGGCAGTCCAGGTGAGTTGGGGGTGCCCACTGCACAGACCCCTTACCTGGCAGGGAATGTAGACCCTTGTGGGGTCCCCCAGATCGAGGGGATTATGGCCCCGTAGCAGAAGCAGCGACCCCTGGACCAGCCCCTAAGCAAGAGGAGCGGTGAGACAGGGCTGTTAATAAACTGGGTTACTAGGTCTAAGGACGCAGACAGCCAGGCACCAAGTGCTTTGGGAGCCGAGAGCAGGGGCGCCTGGTGGGTGTTGGTCACTGGAGGCCTACAGAGGAGACCAGAGCTGCGCTGGACCCCACCAGCTGAGTGCCCAGGAAGGACAGCAGGTGCTGCCCAGTGGTCACACCCTGGTATTGTTTTCCTGCCACCTGTGCCCCGTGTACTTCTCACATTAGGGAGTTATAGTGAGACCGGCAGCACAGCCGTTAGCACCCAGATGGGGCCTGGGGGACAGCTACCCTGTCTGCCTTGTGCCCTGAGGAGCACACTGAGCCTGTGTGAGCACTGCCCCTGTGAGCAGTGCTCACAGCTGACCTGCACTGCTGTCCCCATGCGACCCTCTGGGCTTTTCACAAGGTGGCACTCCGGTGTCCTTCCCAGTGAGTCGTAACAAAGCACCGTCTACAGAGGGCTTACAGTGTGCCCATGCCGGGACAGGTACCATCTCAGAAGAGGAGGCGGGGTTGGTGTCCCCGCAAAGCTCTGTACGGGTGACCGCGCTGAGCAGGAGGCCAGGGTGGGGCTCCCCAAATCAGTCTGTTCCTCCTGAAGCTCCCGTTATGCTAACTGGTCCCTACCTCGGGCTATGGGGGGAGGTAGAGAGGGGCCCCCTGACTACAGAGAGGACTGATGGGGCGGGGGCAAAGTCTTCACCCTCCTTACCTCGGCCGAAGCCCAGCTTTATGTCAATGGCGGCCGCAGGGGCGGTGAGGTCCTCCCGGAAGTTCAGGGGCATCACCTCGCTCCACATCCTGAAGGCCAGGCGGAAGATGTACCGCTGCTCCTCCACGGAGAGCTGGCTGCTGTAGCCTTCCCCCACCAGCCTCCAGGTGAGGGTCTTTTTGGCGAAGGCCAGGGTTCCCCCGCTCTGCGGGGAGCCCTCGAGCTGCCGGCCTGGCCCTGGAAGCAGCATTTGCAGGAAGCGCTTTGGGCGGGCCCTGGGGCGCAGGCCCGGCGGGGTCTGGGGCGCGGTGCTCTTATCCCGCAGCTGGGGCCGCGCATCCGGGACACCGCAGCGAGGCCGGTTCATGGCCGCCAGCGTGGCCGCATCCAGATTCCCGCTGGCCGGCAGCGCATTGACTTTCTGGAACCTGCGCAGGGCCTCGGCCAGGGCGGCGCCCTGGGGACCCTCGGGCGGCCTGTCGTGGCGGGGACCCCGGGGCACTGGGGCCACGAACCCCGCCCCCGAAGGCCCCTCTGCCCAGCCGTATTTGGACAGGAACCTCTGTGGGGGAGAAACGCAGCGGTCGGCGGGGGCGCAGCCAACAGCGCACTCCACGCCTGTGCCCTCCGATCGTCCGCACACTCACTGCACAGGCCAGCGGGTATCTGCGTGGCGTCATCCGTGTTTATTACCCTGTGTATTCACTTCTCTTGGCCGGCATTTCTACTATTGGTGGTTTGTACGAGGTCCAGCACCCGAGAGGCATGTGCTCCAGTGTGCGCGTGCGTGCACGTGCGCCCGTGGGTGCGTGTGCGTGGTCGCGCCCCCGGCTTCCCTACCTGTGCGGCACGTAGGTCGGCGATGGGCGTGGCCCGGCGCAGCGGGGACGGCGCCAGGTCCGAGCGGCCCCGGCTGTGGAAGAGGGTCTCAGGCCGGGCAGGCCACGGGGCTGCGAGCCAGCAGAGCAGCAGGGTCGGCGGGAGGATGGCGACCGCAAGCATGGCCCAGTCTGAGCCGCCTTCCCGCCTCTGTCCGCCGCGTCTCCCCTCCTGCAGGAACCGCAGGCTGCCCTTATCAGCAGCCCGGGTGCTGCCGAGGGCCCAGCCCTTCTCACCTGGGCGCGAAGCGTGCCTACCCGGCCGCAGGCCCAGCAGGGGCCGCCCTTTGAAGACCCCAGGACCACCCCTCTTGAAGCAGGGTGAGAATGCCCCCCCCTCCCCGCCCCCGCTCTGTTTGCCGAGTCCCGGCAGCCTCAGGGCAGGGCACCCGTGCGGCAGCAGCGGCTGAGTTTACAGGGGGTCGCTTGGTGGGCGTGTCTGCGAGCTGCGGGGAGTGGAGGCGGGACACCCGCCCCAGCAGCCCGGGTCTCGCGCTGCACCTGCTCTGAACCACGGGGACCATTTACTTTGCTCGTAGTGTGGGTCTGTTTTTCTTAAAGGGAGTGAAAATTGCTTTAACTTTTTTAAACCTTTTTTAACCTCAGTTACAGTTGACATTCAGTATTATTTAATATTGGTTTCGCGTGTGCAACTCAGTGGTTGGACATTTATATAATTTACCAGGTGATGCACACCCCCCCCACACCCAGCACCACACGTGTGTCCTGTGCTATCTTCACATGCCTGTAGTGGGGCCTTCGGGGTTGGGAGCTGGGGTTTGGGGGATTGTAGTTCATCAGATTTTTTCTTATTGCTTTTCTTTCTCTTTATGAAAGGAATACTTAGTACAGGAAAATGTAGATTTTGAAAGTACTGAGAATAAAGGAGGAAATCCTGTGATTCAGATGGTAACATTCTTCTGAACATTCTTGTGTGTGTGTGTATGTAGTGTGCACACATGAAGAAGTATCTGTGTGCAATTTCACATAAACAACATATTTTCTCTCTCATTTTTTTTTTAGAGAGGGAGAAAAAGAGGGAGAGAGAGGAATATCGATCACTTGCCTCTTGTACACACCCTGACCGGGGACCAACCCCGCAGCCCCAGCATGTGCCCTGGCCAGGAATTGAGCTGCCGAGCCACACCGGTCAGGAACATGTTCTCTGTTTTACTCTGTTACTGAACTTGGTGTAACATTACGTGCATCTCTGCGTGTCCGGGCGTGTGGGTGTTTATCGTCCTAGTCGATGGCTCCGTGGAGCTCTGTGCACCCCAGATTTTTATCTGAGGACAAACTAGAGTCACACCTGAGGTTCTGGAGCATGCCCGGGCCACACTGCCCCTCTCCTGTCCCCTCAGAAAAGCAGAGTACAGGAGGAAAAGGGCGGCAGGGCCAGGATCCTGCTGAGAGTGTCCAGAGAGCCCGAAGGACGAGGTCCTCTGGCTGTGACCGCAGGCGAGAGCCTGGCGTCGCGATGTCGAAGGTCTGATCAGGGCCAGTGTGGGCTGTGGGGCCGGCTCAGTCACGTGTTCACTCATCATCCGGCAGGTCCTGTGACTGTCCTGGGGACAGGGAGGACAGCAGTGAACACGGTGGAATCATTCTTCACCCCTATGGAACTTCTGTTCTCACGGGGGAGAAAGACAACAAGAATGAAAAATTCGGAGGGTGATGGGCTTCTAACTGGAAGAACTGAACGCCTGGGAGATGGGGTGGGGGCGTCATTATTAAGGTGGGCAGCAAAGAGCTCTTGGAAATGTGAATCTTGAGCAATGAAAGAAAAATGTGATATGTCAGTATATTTGCCCATTACTTACTGTGTTAAAAATACACGTCAGTGAACATCCCTCCGGCCTGTGGCGAATGGCTGCTGACGCCTCACAGCTCCGTGTGGCTATAAGCAAAACTTGATTGCGGGGCGTTGATTGAGGCGTTGCTCTCCTCCGGGCTTCCTTATATTTACTTTTCTCTTTTTTAATTGAAATCTCAAACTGGGGAAACAAAAACCAGAATAGGTGCAAGGCTTAGGACGACACGGCTCCCACTGTTGTTCAGCTGTCCTCTCTCCGCCAGGCGGCTGGAGTTCTGAGTGCGGAACAGAACTGAGAACCCTGCCACCCAGAGCTGCTGTCCCGAGGGCTGATGTCACACAGCCCCAGTCCTGACGGGTGAGGGATGCAGAGGGTGCTTGTTTGTCTCACGGGCTCTGGCTAAGGACCACTCCTGAGTGACGGCTGGGCTGGCTGGGGACAGTCACGTCCCCCCAGGGATCCGAGGGGCCAGGTGTTGATTGCTGCAGGGCCTGTTCTCTAGTTAACATCTTTCTCTCTTTTACTGTCTTGGGCTGTTGGCCTCATGCAGGTGCGGACGACGGGACCCAGGGAAGTGTGCCTACCATCCGCTTGTGTCTGGAAGGGCCCTTCTCCCCCTCCTTGCCCAGCCTCTATGTGGCCCGGCTTCTCCAGGCTCAGAGTGTTTGGTTGAGCAGAGTGTGTGCTCCAGGTGAGTTGCATTTGGAGGAAATCAGTTGGATTTCAGAGGGAAATGGCAGAGGAAGCTGTGTGACCTACAGAAGGAGGGACAAGGGCCCTTGGGAAAACCAGGTCCTGGTCTGTGCAGGACACTCCTGTCTGAGCCTAGGGGAGGGTTTGGCTGGAAGCTTCCAGAATCTCCTTAGGTGCTAAGGTGGCATCACCCAGTTGTCAGTGGAAGAGCTGAAAGCATTTTTCCTGTAACACACATTGTCTACCAAATAGGTTTGCATGGTCTCCACAACGCACTGTGTAACATTTGGAATGAGACGGTCCTAAGATATTCCCACAGAAGCTGTTTAAGCCAAGGGGCAGCTGGGAGTCAAGTCTGACTTGGAAAGTGAGCACGTTTATGGCGTTTGGGGGGGAACCACCTGCTGGTTCCTTACAGTTGCACGTTACTGCCTGGGTCGGGGGAGAGGTTCTTCCCACTCTCTGCCCTGCTACCTGCCTTCTCTGTGACTTCCCATTTCAGTCCCTTGTCATCCACAAATCAACCCTCTCCCCACGCTGGGCCAGCTGGGCTCCGAGGCCTCCCTGGGAGATGCCGCTGTGGGTCACAGGCGGCAGATTCTGTGGTTTGGGGGTCGTTCTCCCTCCCTGGAGGAAGCACACTGAGGTTGCTGCACGGCCATGCGGGGAGAGGAGGGGAGCCCCAGTCACTGCCTGCCTGCCCTCCTCTGCCCAGGTGGGTGCTTGACCTTGGCGCCATGATTGAGAGAGTGAACATTGACACAATGATGCTCATCTGTGGCGGCTTATTGATCGCCGCGTTTTTCCTCTTGTGCTGTTTCCTCTGTGTCTACTGCAAGCTGGCCAGCGTCTTGAGGTGAGTGAGTGGGTGGGAGGGAATGAGACCCCTCCCGTGGGACACCTGGGGCTCTCTGCCAGGGCAGGGCCACTCCTTGCCCTGGGGCCACACCCTGACTGGGGTCAGGGGCAGAGGGCAGGTCTGAACAGGCAAAGGCAGGTGAGTACAGGACCTTGGCTTCTTCTCCTCCCGGCTTGGGTTTGTGGGCTCACAGGGGAGAGTTGTCAGCCCGGCGGGCAGGTGGCTCTGTGTGTCACTGCTCCCTGCTGTCCCCTGACCTCCTGGAGTGCACCCTCAGCTGTTGGACTCACCCCAGGGGCGGGCCCTCCCTGCACCTCGGGCACTGCAGACTGAAGACTGCGGGCAGGCCGAGTCCCTGAGTCTCTGCCTCCCGTACACTCAGAGGGCAGGCTGAGCTGGTCTCCCCTTGACTGAGCTGGTCTCCCCTTGACCGTGTTCACTCATTGCCCGTGGCCTTGGGGACGGTGAAGTGGGCCTGTAGGACTGTGAAGATCCTGGGGATGCCTGACAGTGGGGTGTAGGTCAGGGTGATACCTTGGAGCTTTTTTCAAAGCATTTCTCACTTTATGTGGAGCAGAGACGCAGCCTTCCCTGAGGGGAAATGAATGTGGTGAACCGGGGGGTCCTGGGGAGTCCCAGATCCGGGGCTCATGGCCTGCGGCCCTTCCCACCATACCAAACTGGCACCAGGCACTGAGCGGGTCAGACCGGCCACCCCGGGGCCAGGCCTGTAGCGTCCCTGGAGTTACTTTACCCTTACTTAACTTTCATACAAACGTTGGGAAGGACTGGGTAAGAATTCGGGGGACAAGTCAAGGCACAGCCTTGGGCTGCGGTCACATGGCCTGATTTGCCCAGCTGAGAACAGACGTAAGAAGTGGGCTTTAAAAAAGAAATCTAATCTGTGCTTTTCATAAAACCCCCGAAGGAAACTGTGACGACCAGCAGCGCTGACCGCCGAGGCCGGTGACTCGGAGTGGAAGGCGGCCATGCTGGGGCGCTGCCCTCTCCGCACTGGCCACTGTCAGTGCCCCTGGACCCGGCTGCAGAGGCTGTCCCCCAGAGAGGCAGGCTCCCCCGCGCCTCCGGGCCACGGGCCGCCCCCCAAAGTACAGGCGTCCATGCCGAGCTCAGTTGCCTTCTGACTCCGTTCTTTGCAGGTGTTTGGGGCCCCCAAAGGCTGGAGCCACGCTGTCCCTGACCCCCAGGCCCTAGTGCAGATCAGAGCCCAGACTCACCGGGGGTCGGGGGGTTGTGGTGGGCAGGGAGGGTGACCGAACTGACCTCTGTCAGTCTGTTAACACTTTTCACTAGGTAAACCTTGAACCTCGAGACACAGCAGCAAAGCCTGAGCCGTGTTAGTTTCCCTTATCGGTAAGAACATGTGGCACGAACACCAGGCTGCTCACTGGTCACCAGCGCTGCGCTCCGGACCTGCTCCGGGCAGCAGGAGCCCCTTCCCGAGTTGCTGTGGAAACACCCAGGAGGGCAGCGCTCAGGCCTCTCTGAGGGAGCTCAGAGGGCAGGAGTCCTGGGCAACTGCGACCCGGCTCTGGGAGTCTTTTATTTCCGACCCTCCTCCTGGGGACATGCTCCTTCCCTGTCTTGAGCTTCCAGAAGCTTCTGGACTGTTACCTTCTCGTTCCCACCCAGATCCATCCTTCAGGGGTCCTCATCTGTGGCAGCTCAGCAGGGGGATGGGGCAGGGGTGGGGCCAGGGCCACACAGAGCCAGGGGAGAAGAGTGACCCAGGTTTCAAGGGCTTGTTTTCTCCGTGTGGGGAATTCTGCGTGACTCACACTCCAGGGCTTTTCCCTGAGTTCAGGGCATTGACTGGGTGCCCACCCTGTGACTGACGTCAGGACGGAGAGGGCTGCTCTGTTCCTCATCCTCTGCCCAAACGCCCCACACCTGCAAGGGGTACATCTTTGGTGACCAGAGAGTGGGGCCCAGGTCCCTGAGCACGTGGCCTGGGCTCGCCTGTGACCAGCCGGTTCCATCTCTGTGCCAGGCAGCCAGCCTCTCTTCCTGCCTGAGTCTGGTCAGCCTCCAGACCTCCCAGCTCAGGGGTGCTCCGGCCGAAGGCCTGTGTTCCTAGGAGCCCCACTAAGTGGAGGGTGGGTCTGACTCCCCTGCACAGACACCGTTCTAGAACCCTCCTGCAGCTCTGGTCAGCAGGTCTGCACCTGGCCCCGCCCCTCGCAGTCCTGTGAGTGGCCTGGGTTCCATTGCCCAGTTTTCTTTGCGTCATGGACCCACCGGCAGGGCGGTTTGGAGAGACGCCGTAGGGGGAGGCCTGTCACTAACCACTGACGCAGAGGCAGGTGAGAAGGCTGACTTTTTCTGTAAGGGCTTTGCGCGCCTCCCAGGCACTGGTGTGCCTGCTAACGAGACTTGAAGAACAGCTGCCAGGGCAGCTGTGTTTCTGCAGCTTCTATAGTTTTTATCAGTAGTTTTTGAAATTAAGACTTCTAGTGCTGTTAAGGATATTAAGGCCTTTTTGTTACAGTTACATTTGAAACATTTCCTAATTTCACAAATTGTCAATCTATAAATAATAGGGATATACACAGTTCAAAACTATGTTGATTTTTTAAAAAGATCCAGTAATAAGTATATGAGGAAGTTATAGTATCCAAAGATTTTCCTTGTTGATGTTTGCTTTGCCAATTCAACGCAATTTTATTATTTAGGATTTGATTTGATTGTAATAGGAATCTCAAAACAGTGGCTCACACAAAAGTAGTTCACATTTCTCTTACATTCAGGAGTTCAGTAGCATCCCAGGGTCATCTTGTTCTGCTAAGCTTCCTTCCCCAAGGTCGTGCCAGAGCCCAAAAGGGTTGCTGGAGCTCCAGCTCTTATGTCTGCATTCCAGGAAACAGGAAGGAGGATGGGTCTCTCCTGCCCTGACTGACTGGGCTGCAGTTACATTTCTGAAGGAAGCCTCTGTATCCGACAGGGCTGTCCGCAGCACACAAAGCGGAACTTCAGGCCCATTTCACAGGACGAATAAAACCACTCAGAGCAGAGCTCACCCTTCACACCAGGTCTGCTGGTGCTCAGAACGTGGGCACGTCGGTTTCCTCCCCGACACAGCTCTGCCTTGGAAACGACACACGGCCAGTGACAGCCCCAGTCCGCACGGCCACAGTGTGGCTCACTGGACAGCTCCCTGTCACCAGAGGATGCCCTGTTGCAGGGCCTGGGAGCTGTGTGCACCGGGCAAGGGTCCGAGTAGCCTCCACAGAAGGAAGTGACACGAATGTGCCATCATCCCCTGGTCCCATCCTGATCACTGGTGTGCAGGTGGCTTCATGCAGGCGTGTGGCAGGTGTTGGAGGGCTGTGCCTGTCAGTCCACAGGCAGCAGCCCGCTGTCCTCTGCCTGCAGGGAGCCCAGGACTGCCACGGGCGGCCTGTTCAGCAGCGGGGAGGCTGCAGCGCCCTCCGGAGGCCCTCGGCCAGGGCTCGCGGTGTGGGGCTCTCCGCCGTGCAGCTCACAGGCAGGCCCTGGGCAGCCAGGGCGCGGGCGGTGGTGGGGCCGATGGCTGCGAACTGCGGAGAGGAGAGGAGGGCCTCAGTGCACCTGCAGGCATTGGGGTGGGGCCGCTGCGGGGCCAGGTGTGCAGGGGCTGTCGGACACCCTCCCGTCACGACGCCGCTCCGCCCGAGAGCCGGCATGTGACAACGCTTCCTGAGTGAAGCCGGCTCTAGGGTGGCACAGTGCCTTCGCCTCCATACCACAGTCACGGCCTCACCGCCAGCCCAAGCGAGACGGTGCCCTGCCTGCAGCTCGGGGAGCTCGGAGTCACCCGCCGCCTTGGCTGCATTCCGGAAGCCTTAGCTGTGTGTCTCGTGTCTGGGGCCCTGGGGGGTGGCAGGCAGGTGCCACACAGAACACAGTGTGGCAGGGATGGTGGCCGTACCCCCAGAGAAGCAGAGCAGTCAAGACCAGCCCCTGGGGCGAGGGTCAGGACCACCTCCCTGAGCCCTACATTCCACCTGTGACCCTGGGGACCGGTCCTGGTGCCCCGGCGTGCTGAGAGGCCCACGTTCTGAACAAAGGGAGGGCCGGCAGTGCTGTCCCCTGAAGGGGACAACCATCAGGTTGTCCTACGGGTCCAGGTGACACGCTGCAGCCCCCCAGTTCAAAGCCACTGCCACTGCAGGCACCTCGAGGGCTGTGATGTCATGGAGACCCCAACATACACAGTCCCTGAGGAGTGTGAACGCAAGTCCTCCGAGTCAAAAGACGTGGAAGACGGGGATGCTTTTCAACAACAGATCGTTTCAAGACGTTTGCTGGAGAACCGCCTGAGCCGAGTGAGGAAGCGGCTCAGGGCGGCCAAGGGCGTCATCTGCCAAGTGCCAGCTGGGCCGCAGGGCCGTCCTGCCACGGGGCGGCTACCCGGTCGGCAGGGCTTGGACTTGATTGGAAACTCGAGGATACTTAGCAAAACATTTTTAATCTGAAAAAGACCCAAAGCACTGAGGACCTCACCTTAATCTGATTGATGTAGTTACCAGATAACTCTTGAATATGCTTCAGACTGTAAGCGAGGCCAGAGGGACTGAAAAATGTGATGCTGGCTGGCATGCCCTGCGGGGAGAGAGCAAGCTCAGCCCTTGTGAGGGGCCCGGAGGGACAGGTCCCCAGCCCGTCCCCATGAACCCGAGACTCCCAGGCAGTCAGGCGGGTTCCCAGCAGGCAGGTTGCTGGTCAATGCCGGCCCTCCTCATCCACGAAGACCAAGTTCAAAAGGGGGTCTGTTTTGAGCATGGGGTACGATCAAGAGGCTGGGCACAGCTCCTTGGTCACTCTGTGGCCCCTGGTCTGGCCTACCTGGTCCAGGACATGGGCCCCATGTGCCCAGCCGAGGGGACAATGCCTCTGGTACATGTGGCCAAAGTGGCACTGATCAAGTGCGGGGCCCCCCAGCCCTCCAGGAAGCAGACAGACAGTGGACACACGTGACCTCATACCCCAGAGGAGCCGGTGCTGAGGGGCAGGGAGGCGGCTCACTGAATCCCGTTGTGGAAAACATCCACCAACTCAAATGACCACCTTCTGTGCTCCCGCCTAAAGCCTCCGAAGGTCCCGTGGCCCACCGATTCCCCCCAGACTCCTTGGGGGGCGCAGGAGGCCTTCCTCTCCCGGGACAGCTCCCCCAGGGCCACGCCGAGGAAACACACATCGGGCCACTGTTTTGTTTCAGACTTACTAGGTCCAGGTGCTGCATGAAGCACTTGGTGAACACTGTCTCCTTTAATCCTTAGGAACCGTGCTAGCCAGGTCTATTCCCGGTTCGCAGACACAGAGAGGAAGCCCCCGAGAGGTCACGTCCTCAGCCACACCACTGGCTGGTGGGCGGGACCCCGCCAGGAGGCCAGGCCTCACCCCTGCCTCCACCACGCACACCCCCCTTCCCTAGCTCTGCCTGGACTGCACCCACCTGCTCGGAGTAGTAGCTGGTCAGGTTCACTTGGATTCCTGGGTGGGGGGTCTTCTGGTAGACAGTGAGGCTCTCCAGGGGGATCCCTGCCCACATCAAAGCCAGGAAATGGGGTTACTGCCCTGGGGACACCAGGCGTCTGCGCCACGGGGTGTCAGCAGGGACCCCTGACCCCACACTGTCCTGAACAAGCACACTCATCTGGCCCTGTGCAGCCTGCTAAGCAGGAGTGGCTGGGGGCGGTGGCTGAGACAGGGTGGAAGGGCAGGGGCCCTGAAACCAAGGGCTCCCTTCATGCCCACGGGTGCCTTTTGTTCCCACAGCGTGTTTAGAGGCAGAGGCTAACGTGGGTGGCCAAGACGCGCTCGCTCTCCATTCAGGACAGCAGGTGAGTGGCACCGGGCCTGCGACGCTCCTCGGTAGTGCTGTGTGCGGACCGTTGGAGGTGCAACAGCAGGGCTGAGCAGACCAACTGCAGTCCCAGGGGCCCGGTGCATCTGGAGACCTGTGGCTCCACGGGGAGAGGGCAGTGCACAGAGAGCACAGGGCTCTCGGGGCTCCCACAGCTACGGGAAAGTGGAGGGAGCTCGGGTCTGCTTTCCTCTCACCCTAAAGTACACAGTCCAGACGCCTGACGACCCTCCCTGAGCTCCCAGACCCACAATGTGACAGGAGTGCAGGTGACGCCTGCGACTGGGCAGTCAGGGCAGCTGGAAGGCTCCAGGGGCAGGGGCACAGCTGCTTTCTGGACAGCGGGAGCCCGGGAGCCTGGGAGCCCGGGGGATGAGCTGCAGGACGCTGCAGTCACCAGAGTTCAGCTCCATCCCCAGGTTTCATTTACCAGCGGACCCTGCCCTGGGGTGACCTCCACACCACCCCTGCACCTCGGCTGTGACAGTTCAGTGACACTCTGCATGCGCCCAGCTGCTGGGTCCCCTGGCAAGAGCAGGTCTACTGGCAGGAGCCAGGAAGCGACGCCTCCATGCTGGGCCAGCCGGGGCCTGCTGGCCGTGTTCTCTGCAGGACTGGCTGCCCCGCTGACCACGGAGGCTCCCCCCGGCAGACCTCGGGGGGGTGGGGGGGCAGTGCGTGCTCGTCACCTTTGTCCTTGAGCATTTTCGGCAGGATCTCTCCTCTGAGGGCTCCACAGGGGAACAGAAGCGGCAGCGCCGAGGACTCCCCTGCGAATAAACGACCGGACGTCGCACGGCTCTGCAGAAACACAGGGTGGCTGCCTGCTCTGCTCCTCAGGCCTCGGTTCTAGCGACTGCAGGGGGACTGACCACGTCACATGATGGTCACAGGGGCAGCGCGGTGCAGGTGCCTGGAAAGCTGACAGCCACACGAGCCTGGGTCTGCTGTCAGCTGTGCTCCCATGATCCCCCTCCCCTGACGCGGCCTCTGGGCAGCAGTCACTGTTTAGAATGCAGGCCTCGCACCTCAGCTGGAGCTAGAAGGTTAGAGTCAGGCCTGGCGCCGGCACCGGAGCAGACGTGGTCCGAGTGTGGTCCACCTCTACAGGGGCCGTGTGTGGCGTGGCTCTGCGGCTACCGCCAACGAAGACGAGCTGCGTGCCCACTGCTGTCTTGGCCAGGACAGCGGCCGCCAGCCAAGTGCCCAAGGGGCTTTCTAGCAAGCCTAACCAGAGGTGTGGGGTTGGGGGGGTGGCCTTTAGAAAATTCCAGAATCCACCCCTCGCGGCATCTCTTCTGCAGGTCCAGCAGAGTACTGCGTCACTTCTCGAATGCTGGCCACTACTGGGGAGACAGGGGGCTTAGCCCTTGCCTCCAGGACAGGGCCGGCGCCTTGTTCTCACTGCTCACCAGCGCCCAGCAGCCAGCTCTGCGGGCCCACAGCTCAGCAGGCATCAGAGGAGAGCACGGCCCAACCTGCACTGGGAAGAAAACCTGAAACTGTCCCACTTGAAAGTTCTTCCCCGCGAGGGGAAGTCTACAGCAAAGCTGTCCCGGGAGCTAACCCCCTCAGGAAGTCTAGGCGGACACAGGCAGACCCTGACGTTACTGCGGGTCGGGTCCCAGACCACGGCCGTTTGGTGAGTTGTGATCTTCTGCTGGTGGAGGGTCCTGCCTTCAATTTGTAACCAGATCCCTACCGCACAATGGAGCGAGGCACAGTGAAACAAGGCCTGCCGGAACCCACTCCTTTTTGGGTGGTAATAAGCTTACCTGCGGATTTTTAGGCCAAATGGGCCAGTGCCTACTGTGTCCATATAAAGCTGGCCGACTGCAGAGGTGAAACGGGGCCTCCCCAGGGAGACAGGGTGAGACAGGGGCCTAGCAGGGGTCTAGCCCGACGCAGAGATGGTCAGGTTAGATGGGTGGCGGGGCGCAGAGGCCCCTCTCCATTCCTTTAGCAGGAAGGAGGTCTGGACCATAGGTCTGTCAAGGCTGAAGACAGAAAAGGCACTGAGAACCCTGCGTGCTGTGCAGCTGGGCGGGGGCTCAGCACAGGGTCGCTGCACGTAATCACAGCCCCGAGATGACTCTGTAAATGCCACGGGGGGTGTGCATGCCTGTAAAACCCCAACCACTTGGGGGCTGCAGTGTTCTCTCCCTCCGCCTGCCTCTCTCGGGCGCTGCAGTGAACACCAGGTCGGGCAGGCAGTGCGCACGGAACTGTCGCTGATCAGGACCGTGAGACTGACAGGCCGGACAGGAAGAGGAGCCCAGCGAGTCTGCTGTTTTGTGCGTCAGCTCCGAGTCCAGGGGGACGTTTGGAACGGACTGCAGCTCTGTCTGTCTGCCCTCATCTCTCTCTCTCTGTTAAAACTAGCTTTTACTCTGTAACCTGCATTTTCTTTCCCACCACAGGAGACATCCGGGGAGAGAAGGAGCATTGTCTATCAGAACAATAAGCTATCAAATTAAATTAGTTAATAGCTTTAAGCGCTTCCAGTGGAGCCTGTCTCGTAGTAAGTAGGTGTCAGGTGAAATAAAGCAGCAATAACTGTGAACTGGCCTGTGTACTCCAAGCATTGGAAATAGATTCTTAGCTTTTAAAATTAAGCTTCAGAGATAACTGGGGGATAAATCCTAAACACCCTGGTAAAACCAAGGTGAATGTCCTTGCTGGAAGTCAAGATGGGCTCTTATTTGGGTATTTTAATTGCAAGCTGAAGCTTTATGAGGGCCCACAGACACGCTGGCAACACATCAGAGCAAGTAACTAAGCCTCCGTAAAGAACGCTGGCCAGCGGCCTCCGAGGCAGGGGCAGAACGTGTTCCTATCTGCCCTCCGAGCGGCAGCTCTGGGGACTGAAACACGAGGGTGGCAGCCTGGAAGCGACACGGGCACCTGCCTGGCACCTGCACAGGGAACCCCGCCCGACAGCTCTGGGCCTGCCGGTGAGGCAGGACGCCGTCCATCTCCTTCCAGAACCGTGGCGGCCGCTGTGCGCACCTCCATGTCCCCTGCCTGGGAACAGGCTGGGCCACCTGTTCCAGCATGGAGCTCCCAGCTGTCCCGCCCACGGGACCAATAACTCAGCTTCTTAATCCCACCGGATGGGATGGCAAAAGCTACCATTTACACTGATTTCCAGTTTAAAAAGGGGCTTGGATGTGTTTAATGGTGACCATGGCCCCTTGAAAGGACGACAAACAAAGAGCCTAGAGGCGGGTCATCGCCCACCCTCTGCGTCCTGGCCAGTCCCCTCAAGACCTGCCCGATCACAGGGCCCCCGACCCCAGAGAAGACCCAAGTGGTTTGCTTTCCACTGGAACTGTCCCCGCCTTTCGGTGCAGGGGTGGCGGGCCAGGGGCTGCATCGCAAGCAGGCAGACATGGTCCCTGGTGGCTCATGCTTGGCACCTCAGCCAGGGTCACTGCAGAGAAGGCACCCGTGACAGACTCCTTTCCCTCGGTGGCAGGTGTGAGACCAGCAACGAACGCCAAGTGGGCTCCATCCGGAGCAGCCTTTCTCTACTTACTGGAACAAATGTACTCCGCCAGCTTCTCTGCGTTGCCACAGTTTTCTCCTTCCGTATCCAGGCCCATTTTGTTCACTGGAAAACAACAAAAAGTACGTTTCTTTGCACAGCTGTTAAAGCCCCTCTGTTCCCCTGCTGTCCTTTCCATGTGCAAACAGGAAGGCACGTGCCTCACACATCGCAGAGAGATCTGAAGTGTGGGCGCTGGGTCCGGGCGGGCGCGGAGTGTGGAGCCTCTCTGAGAAAGGCGCCGCCCACTCGAGACCGGCTCACACGGAGCTGCCACTTTGCTGGCCACACCCTCAGCCTTCAACTTACAGACCATGGCAACCGTGGGTTCGGAGTCCAAGATAAAGGAGGCCCCTGCAGCTGGGCGTGAACTTTGTCCAGGAACAGGGCCCTCCTTTGCTTAAGCTGCGCTGCCAGCCCTCCTGTCGGACTAGGAAGGTCTCAGCGCAGGGCACGTGAACGGGGAGGGGCCTACCTATGCGCAGTGAGGCCGGAACTGCACTTACAGCCTGTGCTCCTTCCCAAGTTCCCAGAGGGCAGCAATCCAACCACCGGCCCCACCCCCAGGTGGTGGTGAGGGGCAGGATTCTGAAAATTCCTCTCTAACTAATGGGCTGGTTCCCCTGGCAACCAGGCCCAACTTTAGGGCCTGGTGAAGTAAAAAGTCAGCCCATTAAAATAAACTCAGATGGAGGTGAAAGGGGTTTGTTATGAATAACAAAAGGGTATTCCCAGCCGCGTGCCAGGAGCAGGGATGAGACCCAATGCACATTTCTCATTGGGAGTCACAGCACCACTGTCATCGTTTGGGTTTATTTCACCTCGGCGGCTTACCCAGAGAAGCGGTGGCATTTCCGACCACGTACACCGACTTAGCATTCCATTTCCCCTTCAGAGACTCCGTCCAGACTGCAACACATGAAACTGTCTGTGGGCTGCAAAGACCGCAGGGGCCGTGCAGACTGCCACCCAAGACAGCTCGTTTCTCCTGAACCTCGTGGGCAAAGCAAACCAGTAATAAGCAGATTTTTTTTAAACTCCATTTTCAAACTGCTCATGTTTTGCAGGCAAATTAAAAAAAAATCACTTTGGTAAATGTTTCAGGGTGCCTTGCTTGAAACAGTAAGTCATTTCCAGAGTTGGCACTCGAAGCATGTTTAACGTGCACTAGAAAATAAACATAACTGGAAGAATCAGTGTGTGTGGCTGATGTTAAAAAACCCTCTGGGGACAGAGACCGGCACTGACCGGTCCTGAGGGAGGCCTGACCACCTGCTGGTGAGCACTCGGCCTGCCGGGCTGCCGCTGAGCCCTCCCTGTCGCCAGAGGGCTCAAGGCTGGCGTGTCCCTCTGTGTGGGACCTCATGACACTGCTCATAAAAGTCTTTTCCTGTTCCCTTCCGAGGTTACGAACATCAGGTAACTTGGTACCTAAATGCTTTTTGAGCTAAAAATCACTGCAACTTTCCAACCCGAAGGGCAGCGTGTCTGGGATCTCCCAGAAAGACCGGGGGCCCTCACCTCTGGCTTTGCTGTCTCTCTGCAGGCACAGCTCCACAGCGTCCACGGCTCTGGGGCTGGTGAAGATGAGTCCCCCGTAGCGTTCTGGCTGGGACAGCTGCACAGCAGACAGGACACCGGTGCGCCATGGAGGGCTCCGCTCTCCAGGCCCCGGGACGCCCGGAGCTCACAAGATGCCAGGTGAACCGGTTTGTCCCGTGCGTCCACCCACCCATCCACTCGGCACGTGCCGGGAGCTGAGTGTGTGCCCTGGCCTCTCCTAGCCTTTGGGGTTCGGGGGTTCACTGTCCAAAGCACTTCCCTCAAGCAGCTCAGTGCCCTCGGGTGCTCGGGGGTGGTGGTGGGTGGAAGGGGCGCAGAGAGGGGCTGGGGAACTGCGCCTGGGCTCGGACGGGAGGGCAGACTTGAGCTGCACCTGTGATAAAACGCAGCACTCACTGGCGCAACGTCCACGCTGAAGCCCCGACCTTCAAAGACAATGGTGATTACCCTATTGATCAGGCATCTGCACCCAGCACCAGGCTGTTGTGTCCCATCTCTCCACTGCTCTGTGACAGGCCCTGTGAGAGGGGAACCTGTTCTCCCCTGTGGGAGGGGGTGGTGGGTGCGTTTTGCACTCACGGCATCACCGGAGCTCGATGCATGGAGCTCAGAAAGCCACTCATCCCTCCTGGGGCAGACGGGCCGGTGGTGACACAGAGGCTCCTGCCAGGACTTGGGGGTTTTCTGACCATGAGGTCCTAGAAATGATCTCAAATGATGAGGTCCTTTGTTCCCTTTCTGAGCTGTTTACCGCCCTTGTGTTGTCCCTCCACAGGCAGGCCCCGGCACAGGGACATGACAGAGGCCAGCCCAGTGTGCTAAGCTGCAGGAATAATCGGGTACTCAGCTCAAACTGAAGGGAGAGAACTGGAAGGCTTGTCATAGAGTGGCGGGCAGGGCTGCGCTGCACTGAACACGCATGGTGCCTGGTGAGTGGGGCAGTGAGCCTTCAACTTGAAACACCCAGCAGGCTTTCCTGGGACTGTCCTGGCGGGCAGGGTCGGTCACTCCCGCGCTGGGCAGCCAAGCTGAGGCTGTGGGGGTGTGTCCTGGTCTTGAATCTCAGCACTGCCTCTTATTTGCTGGAGGCCTCGGCCAAGTTGCCAAATCTGGGGCTCAATCTCCAAAACAGGAAAACTAATACCTACTCGGCTGCTTCACAGAGGACAGGACGTGGGGAGGAGGGCAGATGAACTGGGTCTGATCCCCTGTGAGCAGCACCCTCCAAGTCAGGGTGGGGGAGCTGGCGGAGGCTGGGCCCAACAGCGCCTGTCCTGGAGCTGGCAGGGCTGTGCTACCCTCTTTAGAAGCCGGGGAGTAAGAAGGGAAAAGAGAAGATCTCCCCAGCTCGGGCTGGCCGGGACCCTATAGACACCACGGGTGTCTCCCTGTCTCCCTCTGAAACTACGGTGCCTGGACCCTGGCAGGCCTTACCTTCTCCGAGAGACTGGGAAGAGCCAGAAACTCGAACGATAAAACAGGGATCAAAGTAGCATCCAGTCCACAAAATCCTAATTCCTGCGAATGAAAGAACGTGGTTCTGGGTTGGCCAGGGCGCTTTGGGAAACAAGGAATCACGTTAACAGCTTGTTCTGGGCCAACTCCTCAGTCTTAGCAGACCCCGCCCCCAACTGCACTGGTAAGGCAGCACCGAGCTTTCCCGGACCAGGAGTGTGCGCACTCACCCTGATGTACGGGTCCTGGCCACCGTCATCCTCCTTGGCATCTTTCAGTAACAGGACCTTCATTATTGCCTGGCAGTCCCCACAGGGTGCTGCGGCAGAGCAGGGAAGCAACCTTCGTTAGAGCTCAGGACTCCCCAGGCCACGGAGGACGACAGGAGCATCGGAGGAAGGTAATCAGCTGCTGGCCGACGCGGCCTAGCCCCCTGCACAGGCTGACTCAGCGCTAATGGGCTGGCTCCTCCGGGTGACTGTCACTGATAAGGCAGAGGGACAGCATGCTGGCACTCGATACCACTTGGAAAGGCAGATGTGAGCCATCAGGGAAAGCCAGCGTCCTAGCCAAACAGTCCAGGCTAACAGAAGTGATGCGAATTCTGGGTTATATCAGTCACAGACAGAGAAATGGGTGTGGAAGGGAACGGGTCATTACTTCCCTGTAAAGACGCACGTACTAAGTTGCTTGGAAGCTCCTTCGGAAAGAATTCTATGGACTCTCCTACTTTGTAAGTGACATTTCTAAACGTTGGCAAGTGTCATGAGATAGTCTTTCAAGTACTTTCTAACAGTCTAGGAAACAATCTGTCAGTACATATCAAAAGCCTTATATACTTCATACCCATTCTTCCTATAACTTCACAACTAAGAATAAATACTAAGGCACTACTCGCAAATGTGTGCAAAGATTAACACAGGGATGCTCAGCCTGCTGTTCTCGAGACATAAATGGCATATGGCTCAAAACAAATTGCTTTGTATCTAAGCAACCAAACCTGGGTGGACAAATAACTATGAAATCAAGTTCTAATTATTGCTGCTGTTGCGCTCTTAGCTAGAGATTGGGATGCGGCGATGTGGGCAGTGTTGCTGCTGTCGTTTCCGGAAGCTACCCCAAAGGTGTCTCACACAGGAAGCAGAAACCCGCCTTTCCGCAGCGGCCACCCCGGCGTCAGCCCGGCCAGGCTGGAGCCCCCACTCACTCTCGAAGGCCAGCGCGGTGTTGCCGGGAGGTGTGGGGAGGGGTGATGAGGCCCATCGTGAACTGACTTTTATTACTTACTTATTTATTTTTTAAAAGATTTTATTTATTTATTTTTAGAGGGGAAGGATGAGGAAGAGAAACATCAATGTGTGGTTGCCTCGAGTGCGTCCCCTGCTGGGAACCGGCCTGCAACCCAGGCATGTGCCCTGACTGGGAATCCAACTGTGATCCTTTAGCTCGCAGGCCCACGCTCAATCCACTGAGCTACACCAGACTGTGAGCTGACTTTTAGTAAGACGCGTCGCCCTGGATGACCCGGGTGGGCCAACTCGGGCAGTGGAAAGGTTTCCCTGAGGAGGGAGCCCTCCTGCGGGCACAGCCTCGGGGTCCCGCCCTTCTCCCCAGCTTGTGCGTGGGCTTCAGACTAACTCAGTGCACACGTCAACTCCTTGCCCTAGGCACAGGGTCATGAAGACCCCACTGGCTCTGTCCACCTGATTGACGCCGACTGACATACCGGGAACCTGGTGTGTCCCTGAGTGGCATCTTCTGCCAAAGCGTAAGTCTTTCCAGGACACACAAAGCAGGCAACTACTGTGGGATTAAAAAGTGGATGCTTACAGCTGTTGGAAGCAGGCGTCCCGCAGCCATGGACCTCTACTTGGCCTGCCTGCGGCCCCGCCAGGGTTCTGGGCCCAGAGGTACAGATCTCGAGCCTTCAAAGGGTGTGTCAGTGATACTCACAAACACCAGCAGCTAATCTCTGACTAAACCTCTCTCTCCAGTTCTCCACAGTGACACCTGGGATCCCCTCTGGGAGAGGAGGTGGGCAGTGCTCATCGGGAGCGGGGGACAAGGTCAGGTGCCACTGAGTGCTACGAGGTGATGGGGTACGGGGGACGGGGACGCTGATGCTGGTCACCTCTCCAGAGGACCTCTCTGAGAAGGTTGAGATCTGAATGTCAATAGCAGCTGAGACTTGGAGGTGACATGAGTTGGGATCTGAGGGACAATGGCCATAAGGAGAGATGTGTGAGCGGAAAGGGGCCCTGGTGTCTCTGGAAGGGGCGGGGAGGCCTGGCTTGAGTGGAAGCCTTTGGCTTCCATGGGAAACAGGGACCCACCGAGAGGGGTAGGCAGGAGTGGTGTCGGCGGCGGGACATACACTTGAGAAAGGCTGCGGGTTCCTGCGGCCAGGACGGCCACTGCTGAGGGTGAGACAACAGAGGCGGTGGTTTTAGCGGGCAGAGGTTCTGAGGTGGCTGGAGCAGGGACCCCTGTGACAGACGGGGAACTACTAGTGCAGTCCGGGGAAACCCTCTGTGACAGCCTGGTGCCTCAGAGCTCGGACCGGGGCAACGTCACAGCCTCTCTCCTGTGACTCCCACGGAGCTTGGGTTCGTTCGGTGTCCTCCTGTCAGCAAGTACTTAATGGACAGTGACTGTGTCATAGGGTAGAAAATACTTCCCAAGTAAGTAAAACTAGTGACTCGAGCTAACGGTGAGGATGGAGCCGGGGCGGCAGCCATCTGGGCCCTGAGTTAAGTTCCCCGGCTCCGTGCTGCATGTCCTCAAAGGACACACCGTGGGCAGCGCATTTATTCTCCGCTGCTCCTTGAATTCGCACTCAGACCGTGAGCCCTACGCTGGGGACTAATCAGAGGGCACAAGGCAAGGCTCCCCACCCCTTCCCCGATCAAAGCAATACACGCTCATTGTGGAAAATCTGTGAACTGCCAAAAAAAAAACACACTAGTTCCTCCAAAAACTAAAAACAGAATTGCCATATGATCCAACAATTCCATTTCTAGGTGTATGCTCAAAAAAAATTAAAGGCGGCGACTTGACAAGACATTTGCACACCCATGTTCATAGAGCACTATTCACAATAGCCAAGAGGTGGAAGGGACGCCAGAGTCCAGAGGGATGAATCCCATGTGGCCTATCTGTACCATGGAGGATTTTATTATCCAGCCTTAGAAAGGAAGTTCTGACGCACGCCACAATATAGGCAAACTTGAAAAACATCACACTACGTGCAATAAGCCCATGGCAGAAGGACAAACGTTCTACGCCATTTAACGCCATGTGCCAGTGTAGGCAGACTCAGAGGCGGGAAGTGAAGGGTGGCTGCCAGGGGCTGGGGAGGGGAGCAGGGGCCAGGGTTTAAGGAACTCCGAGTTTCAGTTTGGTAAGATGAAAAACTTCGGAGATGGGTAGGGCGAGGATGGCACAGCGGTGTGAATGTACTTGGTGCCACTGAACTGTACACTTAAAATGATTAAAATGGTAAACTTGATGTCATGTATTTTGCCACAAATAAAACACAGGAAGGGAGGACATTACCCATGATGCCCCAGTGTAACTATTGATACGCTGGCACCCTGCCTCCTGCAACTTTTTTCAAAGTTAGTCTTTGAACAGCTCTTCCTCACAGCTTCCTCTCTTGTACTTCATCAGGAGACGTTTTTGCACAGTTGCGGGGCCCAAAGGGGCGGCCACATTAAGCTCCTCCATCAGGGGTGGGGCCCTGCTTTGTAAGTACTCGAACATCCCCATTATGGCCTGGTAGACAGACTCAGGGAAGACGGAATGGAACACAATGGTGGGGACTCTGGGGACACTTAGGTTCCCTGGATTCCAACTCCTGCTGCTGAAGGATTACTGAGCAGAGGCTGTTACCACTGTCCTGCTGCAACCCCTCCAGCAGCAGCCACCCACTACTAGGGGCAGCTCATTACATGCACCCAACCCACTCGTCTCATTTTACCAAAGAAAAAGAGGAAGCTGAGGTCATTTCTAATTAATAACTTTCTTTCTAATTAACAGTCTTCACAGTGGGCTGCAAACTGGAAGCCTGCAGGATGAACCTGGCTGGCCAATAGCTTTTACTTGGCACAGGATTTAAAAATCAAGGTATTTCTTGTAAAATGTCAGAATTCCAGGTTCTCTTGAACTGTACAAATCTGCCAGCACTGGGCTGTCAGCTGTCAGCTACATCCTAGCTTGTCCCCTGCACTCTGTTCTCTCAAAACAGACTCTGGCCTGCAATTCAGACTTCTCCACTGGCCCTTGAGTATTTCAGGTCGATTCCTGATTTTAAAGAATCTTTCAGGAGAGTGGGCGAGGGGCAGGCGTTCGGATGTTTAATTACTGACAAGGCCGTGCCACCATCGTGCTGGGGACACACTTGCAGGGTCGGGCCTGAGCCTGGCGTGGGAGCACCGGCAAGATTCGGTGACCTTCCACTTGGGGCCGACCACTGCCCCAGGACCACGGACCACACCCAGGTCAGCAGCGACCTCGAGTTCCTCTCGCTACTAGTCTTGCACTCGCCAGTGCCGCAAATGGGCCCCTACCAGTGCGGAGGCCTCCATGTCCTCCTCGGTACCGTGAGCAGCGACACCTACCTACCTCGCCGGGCTGGTGTGGCCCGAAAGATCTAGGAACTGGGGCGTGCCCAGCGCCGTGCCCAGCGCCGCGCCCAGCAATCGGAAGTCGCTCAGCGAGGGGTGGTAACTCTCGATCCCAAACTGGAGGATGTAAGGATGCCCCGACTGTGAACCCGGTGGGAGGACCCCCTCATCAAGTGGCCAGAGCTGCCCTGGCGACAGGTCCAGCAAGGAAGGACTCAAGCAACACTACTTGAGCCCCGGGTCGTTTGCAGCTGGAGCTCGCGCATGCGCACGGACCTGCAGGTCAAAGTACAAACTGCAGTGACGGGTCGAACCACTGCGCGAAGGGGAGGGAGAGCCTTTGAGGGGATGAAGAAAGATGGAGGAAGGGAAAAATGCCAAAATAGGACCCCAGAACTGGGATTGACTCTCAGGAATCACGGCCGTGGAATCCAGCGGGGGCAGTGCGCTTGTCCCCGACTCATCGCCGAAGTTCTACGTGGTCTTTCACCCCCTCGGCTTTTTCCCGGCCGACCTCCCCGCGGGGCGTGGGGAAGTTGCGCAGGCGCAGTAAGGTCGGCAACATGGCGTCCAGGTCCAAGCGGCGTGCTGTGGGTGACGGGGCTCCGCGGCCTCCCGACGCCCCCGCCCCGCGCCAGGAGGAAGAAGAGGATGATGAAGTCGAGGACCAGGACGAAGACGAGGAAGACAGTGACGAAGAGGAGGATGAAGACGACGAGGTAGTGGACGAGGTGAGCAGCACTGGCGTCCCTAGTTCGGTTTCTATCTGGGAAAATGCTTTCTAGCCGTGCGCAAATGTGTGAGGTGCTTGGAGTAGCGACTCCTCTGCACCCGGAGTCTGTAAGCAGACACTGCAGGTGCTGAAAGGCTCTGACTCGGGTTCCAGTTCTGTCTCTTCCACTCCAGAGTCGCAGAAATTATTTTAGAAAGTTAGAGCCTGGCCGTGTCATTAGCCCCACCTCCCAAAGAAAACCGGCAAAACACTTTTTTCGGAGACTTTTCGTCAGTTATCAGGCGGAAGCCCCAAATCCATAACCGGCCACGGAGGGCCTGCAGGTTTATCCTTTGCAGCCAACTCACCCCCACCCCGCAGCCTGTCTCACGGCACAGCAGCTCCCTCTCTGGTCTTGGAAACCGCCGTCCCGTTCTAGCGGCAGCCTTTCCAAACGCTCTCCATTCTGCAGGTTTTCCTAACTCGCTCAGCTCCCAGGTGCGCGGTGTTTTCTGCGTGTCCTGTAGATAGAAGGAGAGCTGAAAAGAGTGGGGGTAGAGCCGAAAAGGAAGGTCTGCAGTGGGAAATAATGCCTGAAGCAGCTGAGAAAGTTCTGCGAGCTGACCTGTTTTGTGTTATTTACAGGAAGTGAATATTGACTTTGAAGCTTATTCCATCTCAGACAGCGATCACGACGGAATTAAGAAATTACTGCAGCAGGCATGTATTTTAGTCTTTGCGTGTGGATTTGCTCTTCTAAGAAAACCCAGGGCATCAACACAGGCTGTGTGGGACTTACACTTGTCTGTTTCAGAATTCCCCTTCCGGTCCCCTCCCTTCTTAGGAGGAGCAGCTCCTCTTCTCTAGAGCTAAGCCCCCTGTTTGTGTGTGCCCGTGCTCCCAGCCCTCCTCCGTTAACGTAGCTGAGTGTCCTGTGCCCTACAGTACTTCTCTTTTGCCTGCTGATTGCTTTTGGTCTCTTTTCCTCCAAGTCCCATCCCGACTGTTGGTTAGAGGAATTCTTACATAGAAGCCATGTCTTGCACCCTCTGGGGCTTCTACTTCTTCCTTTGCCCCAGTGGAGATGGCCTTGGTTCCTGCCCTTTAGATGCTTGAGAGTGCCATGGTCGCCAAGCCCTTTGACCCTGTGTTCACTTTCCTCCCTGTTCCCCTTGCCATTTCCCCTCTCCACCCCTCCTGTATTTCCACTGACTGCCTGCTCTTCGATTCCAGTGTCTTTAGCTTCTCTGATTCTCCTGGGCTTTTCCTCTCCTCTTGGGGTTGCACTTCTGAGTCATCTTTCTGGTCATTTGGCATTTCACCATTTTTATTTGAATATGGGAATTAGAAGTTGTGTTAGATACCGTACTTTGACTTTAATATAAAATTATTTGTTCCCTTCTCTTAGCTTTTTCTAAAGGCTCCTGTAAACACCGCAGAACTAACAGACCTCCTAATTCAGCAGAACCATATCGGGAGTGTGATTAAGGTAAGCAGAGCTGTTGCACTCATTCTGAGTAACTAATTCTTTAGCCTGAAAAGCTCCTGATTTATAGCAGGCAGGCCAGAAGCTGGCATTAGAAGTCTCAATGGGGAAGGGAGACTGGCTGAAGGCTCTTCCAGGGACCCAGTGCTGTTAGATGCAGTAATTGAGTAGTGGCAGTGGATAGGGAGAGAGGTGGCTGGATTCAGAAGGTGTACGGCAGGTGAAATATGGTGGGATTAGGTAGTGACTGGGTCTGACGGGGAGAGGGACGGGTCAGGGATGACTCTCAAGTGTCTGGCTCAAACGGTGACATAGAGGAAGACAGGCTGGGAAGGGGAATGGGAGTTGGGTTTGTGCATTTTGATTTGTTATAATACGAGTGAGTTGTTCAGCAGCCGCTGGAGGCTTGGGCGTGTGCAGCAGGTAAGTGGTCACTGAGGGCACAGAAGTGGTCGAGGTTGCCCAGGAAGGGCAGGGACACAGGTAACGCCGACATCGTTTGGGTGAGATCCTCGGCAGAGCCTGCCAAGGGGGCTCTGAGGAGTGACCAGGAGAGGAGAGGAGAACGGGTGTCAGGCACGGCAGGGGAGGGCGCATTTGGAGGAGGAGGGAGCCAGACTTGGGAGTCCCGCCTCTGCTGCCTGTCATCCGGTGGCTCTTGCCGTTCTTACACTCTGCACAATGTTGACCGTCCTCTCCATGGCTCGGGGGGCTGCGGTTTGGACAGAGCTCCGTGAGGACGGCGCTTAGGTGGCTGCGGCACAGTGTGGGAGTTGTCCGCGAGGGGGCTCCCTCGTGACTGGCATGAGCCCGGCTGGGACTGTGGGTTGGGGGCACGTGGTTCCTCTACACGGGCCTCTCTACAGGCTGGTGGGTCCCAGGGGCACACAGCCCGAAAGAACTGGGTAGAAGCATCCTAAGGAATAATGTCCTGTCCACCACTCGCTTGATCAGCTGACACAAAGTTCCACGCAGGTTCCAGGGGCAGACGCATAGACCTCCCCCTTTGGTGGGAGGAATGTGTAGGTCACTTGGTCAGAAGAGGTGGGATAGGAGGTGTCATTGCGGCCATCTGTGGGAAGGACGGTCTGCCACAAGACCTCCGTTTGTTGCTGGTTTCACGTCTGAAATGAGGGTGATGTGTGTGCCTGCTTGGTGGTGGACGGAGTGAGGCCGTGTGTAAAAGCACTTAGAACTGGGCGGCTCGGGGCTCCGGCCGTATGTGCGGGCTGTCCCCAGAACCGCTGTCCAGCTCACCGTGCAAAACCAGACAGGCAGCTCCACCTCGGTCTGATGCTCTAGTCCGACTACCTCGCCTTCCAAGCCAGATTCTGTTTTTTAAAAAGTTTTATTTACTGGTTTTAGGGGGAGAGGGAGACAATGGTTTATTATTCCACTTATATAGGCGTTCACTGGTAGATTCTTGTGTGTGCCCTGACTGGGGATTGAACCTACAACCTTGGTGTACAAAGCCAGAATTCTTGAAGATTGTATTAACCATTTTTACTTGCTCTCCTGCTAAGCACCCTGATGTTTTACCCCCAGCCTGCTACTACAGTTTTGAGACTGGTAGTGCCACTGGCACCTTGGTTCTAAATGCAGTAGGCCCTTTGCCCACCTTGGAGAGCAGCTGTGCCTGATGGAGTGGAGGTGGCGGGGAGTAGGACAGCGCCTGCCTTCAGACACGGCACGCTCCAGCTGGCCAGCACCTCCGGACCTCTGGGCGCCGCGGGAACAGCCATGTCCACCCTTGGAAGAGCTCCGCTCTGATGCGGGACTCAGCCTTCCATTGGGCCTCCCTGGCTTCCACAGAGACAGTCGAGGTGTCCAGGGACAGAGAATTCCTGTTCCTAGGAAAGGGACTGCACTCTCGGGGGTGCCTTTGGGATTGGATTGGGATCCTGCCAGAGGGGCGTCCCTAGGGCTGGGCAGGGAGGACTGCGGAGTGCACGGGCACAGTGGTTGAGAGGTTCAGGGGGATGTGTTCTGTGCTGCATTGCTCAGGTTCCTGGGCACTAAGAGGAGGCTTGGGAGGGGCAGGGCATTGGGGGTGCCGGAGACGGTCCAGTAGGAGAGGGGTGAGCTGTGGTGGGACTGGGACCCCAGCCCCCAGAGAGGTGGCCCTGTGTGGTGCTGCCCTGGTGGATGAATCCCATCAGGAGCAGTGAGCGGTCACAGGCGACGCTGATTGCTTGTGAGCCAGGTGCCTGTGTGGGGTTTCTTCGGGCCGGGGACCGAGGGCTCCCTTGGTCCATTGGTGCTGCGCAGGTTGTGCCGCTTCGGCTGGGGGTCCTCTGCGGTGTAGGGAACCTGTCTGCTGTGGATCGTGGAGGACTGACGCTGGTGGACATGGTGGTCCTTTCTTGGTACTGCTTTCCCCTCCCACAGGGACTGCTGGTCTCCCCAGGAGTCACCTGCTCCTTTTCTACTCTTGCGTCCTCTTGTGTGGAGCTCCAGGCCTCTCTCACCTGGGCAGGTGGTTGCAGTTCCCTAGGCCTTGGAGGCCTTCCCTGAGCCGCCCCCTTCCTGTTCACACAGGAAGAGACTGGTGGCCTTTCATGTCCAGGTTCCGCAGCAAGTTTTGTTTGAAGCCTGGCCGCCCCTCTGCCCGAGGTCCCCGTCAGTGGCACTGTCCCTGAGGTCAGGAGCCACGTCCTTCCTCAGCCTCTTCAGACTCTGGTCTGTTCTGACTTCCTGCCCCCACAGAAGCAGTCCATTCTGTTCTCTGTCTTGACACACCGGGCCCCTGGGGCACTGTGGTGCCTGGACACTGTTGTCCTCACCTGTCTGAGGCAGCCAGCGGAGCTGGGAGGTGTGGTGGAGCTCTGGAGGCCCCGTCCCGCACAGCAAGTCGTAGGTCAGCCCTGGTCCTGCTGGTTCTGGTGGGAGGGCAGCGGCCACGCGTCACTGCCTTCATCCACACGTGCTCCCTGGGGACTTGCTCTGTGCCAGGCTGGGTGCTGGGTGCTGGGGGTGTGCGAGGGGTGTTCACACCTGGACAGACAAGCTACATGTGGAGGACCACATTGGGGGCACAGCGAGGCCTCCAGGGGAGGGGCTGTTGTCCTGGAGCCGGGAGGCCCTGTCGGAGCAGGCGTTCCATCCCAGCTCTCTGACTCCTTTACTTGTCTGCTCCTTCCCGGTCCTTTCTCTTCTGCCCTGAATCAGTAGCACTCAGGCCTTGTTCACCGGCCCCAGGAGTCGGGTTGGGCCCGGGTTGGTCCCAGGCTTGGCAGGAACGTGGCTTTGGGCGGGGCTGTCCTGGGGATCGGCAGAGAAACAGACGAGGGCTGCTTCCAGCTGCTCCTGGAGGCTTTAGCTGTGCTGCCTTTGTAACGTGCTGAGAAAGTGGTGAAGAAAGCGACTCAGGGATGTAGTAACTTCGGAGCAGGAAGAGTGAGGAGGATGCAGAGGGGTGGGGCCCAGGGAGCCGCAGGGCCGGTGCCGAGCAGCCCACGGCGCCTTCTGAGGGGGCGGAGGCACAGCAGGTGGGGTTTTCAAAGAGGCACAGCCACTGGGGTCGAGACCCCCAGGCCAGGCATGACACCTCTGCCCAGTCAGGTGCAAGTCACAGCTGTTTTTCTCTTTAAACAGCAGACGGACGTTTCGGAGGACAGTGATGACGATGCGGACGAAGATGAGATCTTTGGTTTCATAAGTCTCCTAAATTTAACTGAAAGGAAGGTTGGTTTCCCCGTCTGCACGGTCATTCCTGCGGCCCCGGCCACGCTTACGTAGGCATGAGGCGGGGTCCCCGAGTCAATGGTGGTTGCAGGTATCTGGGGAGCTGCGCTCGTGAGGTCTGCTTTGACCCCGTCCATTCTGTCGAGTGGCGTGTGCCTGGTGGAAGTTGCTTCCTCCCCGAGATGGACTGGTGTCCTGCTGTTGGTGTCGGCATAGCTGTTTGTGCGGCCTCTGTGGCTGTGCCCTGGCTGGGAGGTGGCGCCACTGCCTGGGGCAGGGGCTGCCAGACACTGACCTGTGTTTTCCCTCGTGGCTTTGTACTACTTCTTGATGAAGAAGGGTCAGGGTCACGGGACGGGCTGGAGTCACTGTCCCAGGGCGCCTGCCTGTCAGCCGTCCCTGCCTCTGTGCCAGTCCTGGGGCGGGAGTGCTGGCGGCCCGGTTACTTTGGGAAATGCTGAGGCGTGGCCACTGAAGGCTGGAGACTCGGCAGGCTGTGGCAGACCCCAGCACTCCCAGGGGGCGAGGAGGGGTCCTTCTCACTTTGAGGTTTATCCTGGGCACGAGGGCCTGTGGTGAACAGCGAGCCTTCTCTCTGCTCTCTAGGGTACCCAGTGTGCCGAGCAAGTTAAAGAGCTGATTCTGAGCCGCTGTGACCAGAACTGTGAAAAGAGCGTGGTTGACCAGCTGGACAAGCTTTTAAGTGATGCCGCCAAGCCGGTGGGCCTTCTCTTGAGTGAAAGATTCATTAACGTGCCCCCCCAGATCGCTCTGCCCATGCACCAGCAGCTGCAGTAAGAGGCTTCGGAACGCCTTCCTGGGGTGTCTCCCGTGGGCTGGGGAGTAGGGTTCAGGGCGTGTGTGGGTGCAGGAGTAGCACCGTCCTGGTGTGAGAGCCACAGCGTGCTGGGGCGGGTGAGGGTGGCCAGGGCCGAGACGTTCTGCTGACCGGCTCTAGAGTGCTGTCGCTGTCCGACTCTGCGGACGGAGGTCTCCGTGCGCGGAAAGATTTAAGTGGCGTGGAGATAAGTGAGTTCACACGGACCTGTTAGTCCCGTTCCACCGCTTTTTCACCCTTCTCACAGGCGTGTTTCCGTAACGCGAATATAATCCTGAACAGTTACAACAAAAATTGAGTAGAATTCCCCAATTCCACTGGATGTTTTATGACTAATGAAACCACGGTCTTGGTAACGCCACACTGCTGGCCTCTCGGGATTGGTTTTATTTTCACCTGCAGCTTCAAGTTGACAGGAATATTTTATACGTAAGAGAGCTAAGATTGGTACAGCCCGCGCTTAGAAATAGAGGAGCAGGAAAGGAAAGCGTGGCGGGGACCCCGTGCTTCGCAGCCAGCTGGCTCTCGGGGTTGGGGCTCCTGTACCATGGCTTCCTTTTGGGGCCTGACCCTCGCGGGACTCCAGGGTCTGGGCTTCTTGTGCAGCCATTGCTTTTCAGGTGCATGGCCACCTGCCCTGCGCCTTCGTGCTGACCCGCTCTGCTCTGTCTTCCCTTTCCTGGCCCCTTGGAGCTTGTGTCTTTGGTGTCCCAGGAAGGACACTGCTTTCCTGACCTTCTGCTAGAGGAAGCTCCAGTGGCTCTTGTTTCTTGTTCCGCCGGAGACACAGGGTTACATGTCATTTTCAGAAAGGTGTCCCTGCCCCTGTGGACAGTGGTGGAAGTCAGGGTGTCTCTGCCGCGCCTCTCCACAGTGCGTGAGACACAATCCTGGACTTGAGCGGTTGGAGACAAGTGAGCGGTCACACGCCTGTGTGTGCTTCTGTTCAGTGCTCGCTGTTTCAGAAAAATCCATTCCTGTGTATTTTTAGCTCTCGCACAAAACAGGGATGCTGGGTGAATTTGGGTCTGGTCCGTCCACAGCGCGGCCTGCTCTGCAAGAGTCGTGGGACGTGTGACTGTAAAGGCCCTGCTGTGATCAGTCAAGTGCAGTGGACGGCCAAGCGAAACTTGCTGCCCGAGAAGGGTCCGCTCTGACGTCCGCTCACGAGGCCCGTGTCCGAGCAGAGCCTCCTGGGCGTCCCCTGGGTGCTGCTCTGTTGACGGGCTGGCTTCCCGGGGCCCAGCAGGCAAACCGTGTGTGTGCGCACCTTGTAGGAAAGAGCTGGCGGAGGCGCACAAGACCAACAAGCCGTGTGGGAAGTGTTACTTCTACCTTCTGATTAGCAAGACATTTGTGGAAGCAGCAAAAACCAATTCCAGGAAGAAACGTAGCAGCCACAAGAAGGACGAGTTAGTGTTTGCAAACGCAGAGGAAGAGTTTTTCTACGAGGTGAGACTGTCTTGTCCTGTTTAGATGGACGCAATAAATTTTTAAAAAAGATTTTATTTATTTTTAGAGATAGGGGAAGGGAAGGAGAAGGTGAGGGAGAGAAACACCAGTGTGTGGCTGTCTCTGGAACGTTCCCCACTGGGGACCGGGCCCAAACCCAGGCGTGCACCCTTTGGTTCGAGCCCGTACTCAATTCATTGAGCCACACCAGCGAGGGTGGGTGTAATCATTTCGTGATAACAGTACATCATGGTTTTTTGCTCTCCTATTTCACATCCGGGTCCTTGGTGTGTGGCCATTCTGTGTTCTTCCCTGTCCCCAGCTGCTAGCAGTGAACACAGTGCCTGGCACACACCAGGTTCCCTGCCCCACTGTGGGTGGTGTGGGTGGGAGGAGGAGCACGTCCGCAAACCTGCTGACGGTGACTGGGCGCTGCCAGTGTGCTGTGAGGGCTGCAGGTCTCAGACCACCCTGGGAGGTGGGCGTGTGCCTGGGTTTACAGATGGGGACGTCGAGTCTGGGGGGGGGAGAGGCATCATCCGGGACCACACAGCCAGTGAGGCGGGGGCTGGGCTGGACCCCTCCCCAGTTCTGGCTCCTGTGCCACTCTGCCTGTGGTCCTGGATGCCATCCCCTTGGTGCAATTTCTAGCTTACTTTCTGTGAAGGTAGCGTGTGCTGTCCAAGACTGAATGAGTGATTTCAGAATTGTAAATGGCACGTAAATGGGCAGTGTGCTAGTACCGCTAGTGACCCGCTCACCTTAAAGCCAGGACACTGTCCGTGCTCCTCAGGGGGTCAGTCAACTTCCGCTGGTGAGCGGAATCCTAAATTCTGCCCGCACGCCCCTTTGAGCTTACTGCGTTCTACGCTGCTCCTCCCACTGCTGTTCCCCTGTAAACACACGGCAGACCCCGTGTTTCACGTCTGAGGTGCATTGTGGCTCTCTGTGTGATGTAGAAGGCGGTCCTGAAGTTCAGCTACTCGGTGCAAGAGGAGAGCGACACACGCCTGGGCGGCAGGTGGGCCTTCGACGACGTTCCCATGACGCCCCTGCGCACGGTGATGCTGATTCCATGTGGCGAGATGAGTGGGATCATGGAGCAGCTGAAAGAGCACCTCTCTGTTTAGCGCCCTCGGACAGCGGTGTGCTGGTGTGTGGATTACCAGAAACCCCGTGGAGTTACCGGAAAACCCAGGACTTGATTTAAATCGAGATTCTGCTGCCTGTGTCTGCGACACGTGTACAGGGTAGTTTTAGAAACTTCTGGTCAGATCACGAGTGGCGGGCTGACTGAAAACTGTCCCAGTAAGAGGAAAACTGTGCACTCGTAATCTGAGGAACTCAATAAAAACTTCTGTTTTTTATTTCAAAGTAATACACAGTGTTGGTTTTTCAGGCGCCTGCTGTGTGGGGTGTGACGCCCTGACGTCCTCCCTCCGTCCTCCTGTTGTGTCGTGGACCACCCGGCACGCAGACCTGGGCTGGCGGCGTGTCACACGGGACAGTCTGAGCGTCACTGCACGGCACACCTTTGTTCGGGAGTCTCGGGGGACTTCTCACACGTGTGCTGCCCCTGTTTCGTGGTGGACACAGGTGGCGGGTGACCCGTCACTCGCTGTAGGATGTCCTTGCTCTCGCTGGGAGGCAGGTTGCTGAAGTAGTACTGCGGTGCCAGCTGCATGAACCTGTTCAGAACAAAACACCGTCTCTGGGGTGCGAGGCAGGCACAGCGGGTGCGCCCCGGCCCCGAGAACCTGCCCTGGAAACACGGTCCACCCGAACCCTGCCTTTGCAGGACTAGCACTTCCACGGTGCTGATGGAACCACCCAGCTGCCTTCCTGGGGTGAGGGGGCCTCTCTAGTGAGGCCACACAGTGGAAGCGATGGGGACACTGGTGCCTCTTGTCCCACCCCTCACAGTATACAAGGATCCAGTCGGGTGCTTTGGAGAACTTTGGGTGGGTAAGAGGGAGGGCTTGGCCTCTGTCTCTCCTAACGCATCAGTGCACAGTCGGCCTCCGAAGCCAGACCCCTGCTGGTTTCCATCGGTCCTGCCGGGACCGTCACCCAGGGGCAGAGGCACTGCAGCCACACCCACCCACTCAGCAGCCACAGGGAGCGTGAAAAGGGCTAAAGATGTCACCCCTCTTAAAACTCTTCCACTGAGGAATGGGAGTAAAAACAGTACTTGAACAACAATTTAAAAAAAAAAAAGTGAACAATTGCTACATGAAAGTGGGCTCAATGTCACTAATTGTCAAGAAGATGCAAATCAAAGCCAGAATGAGGTATCACAAAGGAAAAAAAACTCTTCCGTTGCTCCTGGCCGTGAGCCCTCCGCTCCGGCGCCTGCCTGTCTTTGCTGGCTCCAGTCTCCGTGGCTCCTCTGAGGGGAGATGGCTGCGCTCATCCCTTCCCAAGGTCTGCGCCCACCCACACCTGTGCAGGTGCCCTGTGCCTGGGGTCACCTTTCTATGACGCAGTCTCCCTTCTGCTACCATCTCTTGGGGGCCATTTCTTACGTAATTACCCTGTCTTAAGGCTGCTCCCAGTATAAACTGCTTATACCTGAACGTAATAACCCAATTTCTCATTTACTCCTTGATTGCAAATTCAACAGAAACCCTTTGTGCTCCATGAAACATACAGCTCAGGAGAGGTTTCAGAGGCGATCCTGATGTAGTTGTTGTCCGAGATGCTGAACTTGTGGAACAGCACCCACTCCGGCAGCCTGCGGGAGACGGAGTACCCGGACAGGGGGTGCAGCTGGGCCACGTGCCTGTGCGTCAGCATCAGGTAGTTCCCTGCCCCGTCGACATCCCGGGCGATCTGCAGGCAGCGCAGTTGGGAAGCGAGAGAGAGCGTTAGCACGGAGGTCGGCACGCAAGACTGTCGGGTGTAGTTAAGAATCCCAGAGAACTCGTGCAGAATGGTTACAACCACGGACCTGCCACCTGCTGTTCCTCTTTCCAGGTAGCAGAAATCAGACTGGTTTTATCCAAAGCTGTGAGACTGGTGGTGGTGGTGGTGAGTGGCTTGTGCACGTCCCAGGCGGCTGCAGCAGTCGGGTCGGGCAGCAGAGCCAGACTGTGGACCACGCACACGCCACGTGCTTCACAGCCAACATTCCGGCTCATTCTCTGCCCGGGCAAGCCTGCCACACCAGCCCCTGCCCTTTCCCACACGGATGAGGAAGTCCGCGGCACCCCTGCTCCTCCCGTGTGCTGGCAGAGCAGCCGGGGACAGCCTCTGCCTTTGTGAGACACCGAGTCACCAGCGACTGTGGGCTGGCGCACCGACAGGCGGGGCGAGGGGCTCTGTCTGATGTGCAGCCCAAAGGGCGTTTCCCAGCCGTCCCTCCGTAACGGAAGGGGCCTCGTCCGCTCGGATGAAACCCGCACTCTGGCTGAGCCCTGCGTCTTTAACAGCACGAGGCTTTTTGTTTGGCTTTAAAGTTCCCAGCAGTGAAATAATCACCCGAGAGACCGGACGCACGCCGTCTGGTCCAGACCGTGCAAAGGCCGCCCAGCCCCCTCACCTGCATGAAGTAACCGGACAGGAGCGCCCTCTTCAGGTTCAGGGTGTTTTCCTTGGAGCCAAAGGCGGGGTCCGCGTAGGGAAGCTCGATCCGCCTGATGATTTCCAGGAGCTCGGCCCGGATGACGTCCGCCATCCTGAGGGCGGCGCAGCTGAGGAAGCGGTCCTGGCACCACTGCTCCACACAGCCTGGGGGGGGCGCAGAGGTGCCTTAGAGAGCGTGTCGCCACGGGAAGGGGCCGGGCCAGGCCGGGAGGGTGCTCGCTCGCTCGCTAGCTCTCCTCTGTCCTCTCCTGTCCGGAGGAGGACACAAAGACAGGACCTCTGGTGGCTGTGAGGGGCCGTCTGGGGCACTGCCAGAGGACCCTGTGCTGGCCAGGGTTCCACGGGGTTCCACAACCCCACGCAACGTGGAAACAGCATGTTCCTATTGTCAGTTTGTCCGGGGCTGGGGGGAGAGGAGACCTCGGGTCCACACTCGACCTGCCTGCACACAGCAAGGGCGTGCGGGGTCACTTTCATTCAAACCAGGACCTGAAGAGCTTCCAGTGAAAACATCTCACATAATTGTTATTGTAGGAGAGGGGTTACTCTAGGTTGACCTGGAAACTGTAGCTGCCCAGCTGCAGGTTTTACATTAGGATTCAGCCACCTGGGTCAGTCTGAAGTCACTCTTTCCTGCCCCCTGTGAGTATGATCACTTGAGGTGGACTGGGGTTTGCCGTGAGTGGCAGTGCACGTGGCCTTGGCGTGGTGGGCAGCAGACCTGTCGGCCGGTCCCGCCGTGCAGGCCCATCAGGAGCAGGGGGATTGCGCCCTGGCTGGCACCATCCCTTGGCTCTCACAGGTGCCACCAAGCGCCCCCACGTCCTGTCTGCCTCCACTGTTGTCCCCTGCGCCTCGAGAAGCATGCTGCCTGCTCTGTGTGGCACTGCCTGTTCTTTGCGGTGCTGCCGTTCACGTTGCTGACACAGTTGTCACTGCACGTACCTTTCACACCACCTCTCGGAGTGGAGGAGGCACAAGAATCTTTGTGGAAAACAGGTGAACCCCGCCGGCTGCTTTTGGAGACCTCGGCCCCGCCACCCCGGTTGGCCCCCTCTGCCTCCAGAAGTGCCCTCTCTGCCCCCAGAGGTGCCCTCTCTCCAAGCCCGGCACAGCAGCTGCACAGGAGGAGCCTGCGGCTCCCTGCTCACTGAGAACGTGCAGACATGCCCAGAACTGCAGGCCGTTCTCATCCGGACTGGGTGCCCCTCCCCTGCCCTGCCCTCTGCCAAGCTGTAGCCAGACTCTCTCCCCCCACAGGGGTGGGGGTGGTTTGGGTCGCTCTGGCGTGCTCCACACTCCCCACATCCACACCCCGCAGTGGATGTGCCCATTACGGAAAGCACAAAGCGGTGTTCGGATCCAGGGGCCACCTAGAGATGGCAGTTCTTTGATTCTCCCCAGACCTCAGGGGGCAGAGCTGTGCTGTGCAAGTCGTGTCCTTGGAAGGGTGAGGGCGCCCCCTGACGGCTGGGGTTCTGGGTCCAGGCCCCCAGCCGCCAGAAGGAGTTTCTGCTGTGCAGAGTAAACCTACGGGTGCATTTAAGGCCTGAAGCGCCATTCCGCTGACGTGACCAGCATGGCTAGAGAGAAAGGGTGTTTGACCAGTAGCCACTCAGCTTATTTTGGGAAAGAAAGGTGGACTCTGAAGATAATTTCTGAGAATCACAAGCATTCACTTACGCTCGCTGGTGGAATTCAGAGTTGTGTCTTGGTAGGCCTTGTAAATGTTGATGAGGGTGAAGTGATCACCTTCGGGATGTAAAAATGTCTTCCAGCAACTCAGGGCAGCCTCCTCCGCTCCACGTGGCAGGTGCAAAAAGCAACTGGGAGCTAGAAGGCGCAAGCGGTTACAAGATGGGCAGTGATGGAGGCACTCCATGTCAGCATAGCACGGGGGGCAGGGAGCTCAGTGGCCGTCTGACCGTGGACAGTTATGTCACCCCGCGGTACTTAGAGATGGCAAGGGGCTTGGGGAGTTGCATAGTTCTCCTTGGTTCTGCCTGCTTTCCTTAGCTCTGCTTGTGACACCAGCTGTGTCACACTGGGTGCAGGGACTGGGTGCTCTGAGGCCAGATGCAGGGACAGGACTGGAACACAGGTGCTCACGCGATGCTGCCTGTTCTGCTGGTCAGAGCGTGGCGTGAACCGGACTGACCAAGAGGAACGAGGGGGCAGGAAATAAACTGGCACACACGTCATCGCCGGGGCAGAGCACGTCTGGCGGCGCGCCTTCGGGTTTGTCTTGGTCAGTGCTGACTCATCCAGCAAGGGTGACCCTGGGGTGCTCTCTCATGTCAGGTTCGGGAGTTCGCTGGGGACACTAAGGTGTCTGGCCCACGGCCCACATGTGGCCCAAGAGAAACTGTTACCCTTTCCTACCCTTTTTGCCTGTTAAAACCCCACTTCAAACATCTCTCACTTAACTCTGTCGCTGCGGGTGCACCACACAGCAGCACAGCAGCAGCCCGGGAGCGCATACCTGTGACCATGGCGGCGATGGTGAGCATCTCGTCCACACAGTCGAACTCGCAGGACGCTAAGATGGACTTGGAGAGTTGGGGATCGAGAGGAAACTCCGACATGATGATTCCAAATTCGGACAGGTTTCCGTCGTTGTCTAGCGCTGCCAGGTAATCTAAGTCCTCCAAAGCCTGCATCAAACTTTCCGGGGCTGAGAGAGGAAAAAATAATCAGGGAGCCTCAGGTACTGAATTCTCTTCCCAGGATAAACAAAGTATCCGCATCAACAGTTTGCAAGACAAAGAAGGTCAGGTGACGAGGGGCGGACTCCTGAGCAGGGACACTGACGAGGTGAGCCGGGTGCTTGCCCAGCTTAGAAGCTCCAGGGCCGGGAAGCTGAGTCCCAAAGCGGTACGGAGGGTCTGGGAGACCCTGGTGGCCTGGGCTTGCAGGCCTGCGACGGGCAGTAGAGGGAGGGTCTGGGAGGGCCTGGGAGGTCTATGCAAGCCCCTCTGCTGGCCAGCACAGTGCACGCGTGAAATGGCTGTGGCCAGACAGGGCCGCCCAAGGAGCACACCCATGTGCCCGGTGCTCACAGGGTTGGGGCACTGCCCGTCTCCACCCTCCAGGCAGCAAGAGCTCGTGGTCCGAGGGGTAGGAAACGGGAGGGAACCCCCAGACACACGCTGCTCCGCCATGTCCTGCTACCCGACAGGTCCTCAAATCGGGACTGAGAGAGTCCCCTCGCCCAGGACAAGCTCTGTCATGTTTACAGAAATCAGGACGTCTGATATCCAACACAGTAAAGCACAAGGTGTAGCGTCCGATAAGAAGTTACGAGGCATGAAAGGCAGGGCCATAAAACTAACCAGTAGAAACTGACCCAGGCCTCACGCAGATGACGGGAACAGCAGATGAGGACGTTAAAAAAAAGTTATTTGCTGGCAAATAAGGACAGAGGCTCATTTTCTTCATCTTACATAACATCAATACTGGTATGGTATCTATTGTACATGCTTAATCTCCACTAAAGAAAACCCATCTATTATTCTAGGTTTAAATAAACGTGTGTTTTTCACCTGTCTGCTACATGGCAGAGCAATAAAAGCCACACAGAGAGGAAAGTGACAGAGTGAGCGTGCTGTGTTCCCACCCGAGGAACTGGAGGGTTTTGAGAGTACCCAGGATGGCTTTCACTGGCCTCACTTCTGACGTGTCCTGGTGGGAGGTGACGACTGTGAGGCATCACCTTTTTGCATCTGGGAGATCGGAGACAGAGTGAAAGCTGACTTATTTGTTGTCCAAACTCTGACCACTGAACTATTTGCCAAAATTCCAGGCAAATGGTGTCACTCAATGTCAGATCTGGGCCAGTCACCGCTTGGATTTGGTCAAGTGCCCCATTCCTATCGGGATACTACGGAAACTCCCAGGAGGCCCTGCTGTGGGTTTGGGAGGGACTGTGACACTGTAGTGCAGCTCTTCGCAGCTGCGGTTCTGCAGCACAACTGCCTGCAAGAGACCAGCTCCCAGGAACGGCAAGGGTCAGGGCCGAGGGGCCGCAGGAACCAGCCCACCACAAACCTGTGAGAGCCTGGACACCTGCTGGGGTGGCTGAAGCACAGCTGTCATCCCCAGCGGCAGGCAGAGCAGCCCAGTCCCTGCCGTGCCATCTCTCACTGCGGTGCAGCATTGAGCTGGGCCCCAGGTCTGACCCCTGGGTCCTGGCACGGGCCCTGGAGGACTGACTCTGTGTTCATGTCTTGTCCTTGAGGCTGGAGCCAAGCTGAGACCTTGAGGAGTCACAGTCCCAGGAAGGAGACAGATGGGCAATTTGGAAATGAAAGACTGAGCATTTCATCAGTGAGCCATGAAATGAAGGGGGACAGCCGAGCTGTGCAGAAGGTACAGGTGGTAGTGACAGAAACCGGCTCCTCCGACGAGACAGCAGGAGAGCTCCGGAGCACACACGCAGTTACTGGAAGCTGTTCAGAAAGCGATTCCTACAGATCAGCAGAGCTGCTGGCTACGTGGTACATCACGGGGTCCTTGGCAACTGTCCCCATTGGCATCGGCCTTGACAGCCGACCTGTCCCCAAACCTACTCCTCATTTTATGCCCTGGCGGTCATTTGGCTGCACAGAGAGGATCACTGACAGAAATAATGCCATGGTTCTGCCCCCGGTCCCAACACCAGAAAAAGAGGATGCCTTTGGGGTTTACAACCACAGAAAGAAGAATCGAGAAGTTGGCACAGACTGTGAAATGACTCGGGACTTGAGAGAACAGGGCTAGGGGTCAGCTGCAGACAGGACAGGAAGGAAAGACTTCTGGGGGTTCAGTTTCACCCGGCATTGGCCTGACCCACCCCAGTGTGCCCCACACGGCATGGCCTCGTCAGAACCGCTCAGTAACCCCGTGAGACAGGCAGGCACTGCCCTCCCATTACTGCAGAAAAAAGGGCAGTGACTTCCCAGAGCCACAGGGCCGGCCAGCCTCTTCCCTCAGCTATAAAGTGAGGTCCTGACCCGGGCTGGTCACCAGCAATGTCTGTTCTGACCAGCGGGCTGCCACACAGCTGTCATGGGATGTGCCTTCTGGCCCGAGTCCAAGGCTCTGCTTTAGCAACTGTGGCCTCTCAGAGGTAACTGGCGCTGCCTCCCAGTGCCGGGATCGGCCTCCGCTCCTTGCACTGTGAAAACGCCCTCCGCAGGACCTCCTGCCGCTTGAGGCCAATGAGCCCGGACAGCCACGGCATTTACTGTTTGCCAGGCACCTTCCAGGGGGCCTACTTGCATTAGCCAGTTTATCTTGACTCTACAGACGGATCGCTTTGACTGTGCTCGTGTGCAGATGAAACACGAAATGGAGGCTTCGAGAAGGCCAACAGCAGGCGGCTGGGGCCCAAGCCCTGACTGCACTCAAGGGCCCGAGCTTTCTGGTGTGGTCCCAACTACAGGGCCCCTCTGCCCCGTTTGGCGAGGGTGCCCAGTTCGGCCTCTGACCCCGGTGCACTTTGCGCAGCACCCCATTTCGCCCTCGAGCGTCCTGGCCAAACAGTAAGTCACACGGTCACTGCACCCACGGGGAGCCTCGGGGATTGAGAGCTGGAAGGCTTCACACTCTGGAAAATCACTTTTTTGCTTTTAAGATCCTCCCACTGGCTCCTGAGTTGTTGTAGCGTATTTGGGCCTTTTCCACTCTCCTCCCTGCCATCTGAACATAGCAACAAACTCGTGTGGTCTTTCGACAGTGAACAGCATAACCTGCACTAATTCCAAACCTGGACCGGGGCTCCTGCCAGCGTGCTGAGGACATCTGCTGACCCCTGGGGCCGTGTGTCGGCCGGCCTCACGACCCTGCTGCTGACGGAAGGGCCCGCGGCAGGACGTGCACGTGCTCCACTTCCCTCCATTCTTCTCTGGACGCCGAAGGAAGTCCGGTCGTTCGTGAAGAAGTGCGAGCAGTTCTCCTGTGAACTCACAGGCCAGGCTGCCCGTGTGCAGGATGGGGTTCCAGGGCACCCGGACTCGCGGGTCCGTGGGCCTCCGCTCAACGCCTGCGCCGTCAGCACCGGCGGTCCAGTGACCGCAGCGTGTCGAACCCTGTCCTGGCCGCCGCCCACACCAGCCTCGTGGCCTGACCGCGCCCCGTCTCTGCGCTCCTGCCCGTTTTCTTGAGGCCTCTGTCCTGTTCTGCAGGCCGTGTCTGGCCAGCGTGTGTTTGGGTTCAGTGTTCACAGACTGCCCCTAAGCCCACCGTCTGGCCACCACCAGAAGGAGCTCCAAGTCCAGGCCCAAGGACGGCCCCTGCTGTGGTCTCGTCCAGCTCGGCTCACTTGTCTCCAAATCCCTGTGTAGGTGTCACTGCCATTCCGGGTGAGAGACCTCCACGACCCCAACCACGGCGACTCAGGCACTTGCAGTAGAGGTCAACCCCCAGCACCACGGAAGAGGAAGAATAACTTACTTTTTAAAAGGAGATCTGTATCATAGAATTCAGTTAACAGCCTGCAGCCTAGTTATGCCAAGTTCATTTCCTCCTGGTTCGTGGGCCCCGAAAGGGTCCAGGTTTGCTGGATCTGCACGTTGCGCTGATCAGCAGAATCACGTGCAGCAGCTGCAGCCGTCATCAGGGATTTTTTGTTGCACAACAATGAGTCTGAGTCAGTCCACTGTGAGGTTCCCCCCACACAGCAGAGCAGTCGTGTGCACACTGTCAGGGCACAGAAACAGTGACCCTGCCCTTTGTCCCCTGGGGCCTGGCTCTGAGCCTCACAGAGGGCGACCACGAGGGAACACAGGGTTTCGGCGCTGTGGCCCTATGCCACTGGCTTTCCCGGAACCACAGCCCTGCTCTCCTCCCCACTCCTGACCCAGCGTCTGCTCAGTTCCACACCAGAGGCCTGCGGAGCAGGCTGGTTACAGAGGAGGGGCTCCCAGTGGGCGTTCCGCTGACACTGCGACTCACAGCAGACAATTCCAGCGCCACTGCAGACATTCCCTGGGGTTTAAATCACTCGGCACAAACCAAATCCCCAGGCCTGCCGGCACTGCGAGCGCAGAAGCCAGGTCTCAGCCCCCTACCCCGCTGGCGCCCGGCCCGCTACCTGGTCTGTTCATGAGGTCGCAGTGGCCCAGGCCTGCAATGTCGATCCTCTTCATGAACAGCACCATGCGGGTCAGGTTGGCTTCCTGCACTTCTGCCGGCTTCAGCGGCTGCATGTCTTTGGAGGCAAACTCTTCAGAGTACAGGCAGAACAGTTTTCCTAGAAGAAATGAAGGGACACAGCTGTGGTGTCTGTCCTCTGCAGACAGGGACAGACACCCGTCAGTGTGGACGCACGCAGGGCTGCTACCTGAAGACGACATGCTGAGAATCTGCTTGCGGGTCTCCGCCTGGCTCTGGCTGATGGGCTGCGTGACCCGGGAGCTCGCCCTGATTCGAGGGTTGTACACCTTTAAGTGGAAAGACAGCACCTTTAGCGTCAGGTGGCCGTGAGGTGGCCAGCTCACATGCCCTGACGCGCCTATGCCCTGGGCAGCAGTTCGCCTCACGAAATGCTCTGCTGCAGGGTCATTCCCTTTGTAAGGTATTTATTATGGCTTCACTTGTCTCGAGACGGAAACTTCAAGGGCTTGAATAAGTGGATTGAAAGGGTGTCTGCTTTTGTTGTAGCGTCAACAACTACGGGACCTCTACCATCTGCTGAAATACTAGCAATGTCACTCCTCCAGGGTGACCCTGGTGAGTGACAGGTGCGCAGATGCCTCGTGGGCCGAAGGACTGCCACCTGGCCACGCTGTGTCTCTTCAAGGTTCTACTCCAGTCGGCCGTGAGCCCAGTGGCCGCACCTTCGTAACATGCACCTTTCCCACCACGTCGGCTAAATGAAGACCCAGCGCAGCGCTCAGTACTCTTCCGAGGGGTGTCTCCGGGTGAGTAATGACCCTGGTTCTCGGGACGGGGGCCTGTTCAGTAAGGTGCACCCAGACCATTCCACCGGGACCTTCCCAGTGGTGAGGACGGCTCCGTGCTGGTGAGACCAGGGTGCTCAGAGACCCGCGTTCCGGAAGGAGGGGGGCTACCCCACATCTGGTAACGGCAGAGGGGTCAGACTTGGGCAGGCTCTCTTCAGTCCGTACACGCCGTGACTCAGGCCCCATGTCTTGGAGGGTGAGAGGCCCGATTCCATTTCCCCCAATGTTTTTCTTTAAAGATAGCTCTATAAAAATACTACGTTCTTTAAGAATTTACAGTGGAATTTTACCATGTCAGTTATAAAGCCAAAATCTGCTGAAATTAAAGTCAGTGTAGTGGAAACTGCTTTCTAGTAAACAACTATGATACAGGGGCTACCGAAGACACTGAGGGCACGTCACTGTCAGTCACCAGAGACACTGAGGGTGCGTCACCCTCTGCTTTGCTAGAGAAAAGCCACTGGTGAGAACCTCCACCGTATGCTTCCACGGTCGTGTCTTTCCTCAGACTTTTCCTCTGGCGTCTCCTTCCACCCAACTCCCTTCCAGACCGCTGCTCTGTGCGCACAGGAACAAGCACCGAGACTCCCCGTATCCTGCAGTTCACCTCACTTTCTGGTCGAGAAAATGGGGGGGGGACCCAAGAAACGTTCCTGACAACCGTCAGTGGCCTATTTAACCTGCTCGGTGCCACTCACCTTCCTGCTCTCCACGCCCACGTCGATCACGAACTGCACGGTGCCACCGCAGATCAGAGACTCTCCGGGGCTGGCGGTGAGCACCACCCTCCTCTGGCGAACTTGGCCCCTTGCTTCTGTTTCATCGTGTGGCTTGAACAGTGCGCATTTCTCTCTCGGATACAGGGGAACCACCAGCAGCTCGCCAAGATCTGGGTTTAAGTTAGACCCTTCTTGACAGACAATTTCATAGGCTTTCTCGATATCCTACAGTAAAAAAAAAAAAAAACCCACCATCTATGAGAATACGGTACATTACGAATGACTTGACCACTTACCAAAAAAGTCCAAATGAAGCAAAACTCCAGTAGAGAGCTGTAGAGACAGAGCACGTGCACAGCGAGGGAAACGCCCGTGTGATTGTGTGTGCCGTTAAATGTGACCGCATGTGCCGTTAAATGTGATGGTGTGTGCCATTAAGTGTGATTGCGTGTGCTGTTAAATGTGACTGCGTGTGCCATTAAATGGGACTGCGTGTGCCGTTTTAAGTGTGACCACGTGTGCCGTTAAGTGTACAAAGGACTCGGAACTGGAGGAGAGCGCTTCCTTCGGGAAGATGACTTAGAACCAATGCCACTGCTCTCGGTCCAGGACCGTTTTCCTCTGCGAGAGGGGCTGCCTCGGCGTTCGTGTGTCTACCCTGCTTCTCTAGCCGGATGCGGTCCCTCGTTCCCATTCACGGGGCCAGGTAAATGCGGGTGATTCTCCCGTCAGGGATGACGGACACGGTGCCTCCCTGGTGGCAGAACCGCGAACCGCAAACCCAGCATCTACACAAACACCGTCCAGCGCAGGGTGGGGCCCCTGCCGGCTCTTCCAAACAGCAGGGACGCAGCGAAGCGGGCAGGAAGGAGGCCCTGCTCTGTGCTCTGCACGCGAGTCGGGCCTTAGGAACGCCCCTGTGAAGCGCTCCACTGCCAAACGGGCCCAGAAGCCATGGGTTATTTCCCCAAAGCTACACAGGAGACACATGCAAAAAGCTCAGAAGACATTTACATAGTATTTTTCTCTTTCTCTGATCACTAGGTTTCTAGAGCCTCGTGTAAAAAAAGATGCCATGTAACATAATTCTTATACCTTTTATTTCTGAAATGTCGGCCTTTAAAGGCTGGCTGACGAGCGACACGGAAGGGGCCCCATTTCATTAGATCCACTAGATTCCACTGAAAATCCCCGTAAGAAAGACTTCCAGGACGGTGAGTCACCAAGACCGACTCGGTCTCGCGGTGCTGAGCGCACCTTCCCTCTGTACTGTCTGGGGAGCGGGGCAGATTGACCAGGGTTCTGCAGGAAGACAGGTCCGCCTGGAGAGACAGCCGGGCCCCCGGGAAGCTCCGCCCCAGCAGGCACCCAGGGCCGGGATGCTCCGGGCGGCACACAGCAGCACACGGTGGTTTACACCGGGCAGATTTTCCCCAAGAAAACAGCATGATTGTTGATCATAATGGATGAAAACTTGTCAAATGGAATAATCGGAACAAAACCGCCTCCATTTCTGTAGTCTGGTCACGTCATCATTTTACGTGAGGGCTGTTTAGAAATCACCAGGAAGAGAACAGCATTCGGCCTCGAGTGCGCTCCCGCGGGCCTGCCTCACCCTCAGTGATGACCTGGAGTCATAAAGGGCTTCAACTCCAGCACCCACCCCAGGCGATTTCCGACCGAAATGAGACCTCAAATCGCACTAAAGCGCAGCTTTTAGTCTCAGAGCCATTTAACACGTCACGTGGGCCAGGCCGCTTGTTTCTTACTTGCTTCTGGTTGCTGAAACTTCTAGTCCTAGGTGGGCTCTAACGTTGCAGCTGTTCCAAATGGGCACAAAGAATGATTAAAAGAACTCAGAGGAAAAAGCAGAAACAGAGGTGTTGGGTGTAGACTCCTCACGCTCAGCTGATACACAGGGCTCTGAGGACAGCACCTTCCATTGGAAAAACAGGCTTAAAATACGCACTTTGTGCTTTAAATGGTTCGTTTCTTCATTCAGTGTGTACAGTGCATTTACCCCTGTGGACGTTACAATTACCTGCAAAGCTGGAAAACACAGCAGCGCGCACAGCAGGAGGCTGCCAGGCCCAGTGAGAGACCCCGCAGCGAGACAGAGCGCTTCGGGGAGGACCGCGGCGGCACCGTGTCTGGGCGGCTTCCACTGCATGGCGATCTGAACAGGCGTTGCTGTGGGTCTCAGCTTCCGCTCTGTGTAATGTGTCTGCTTGTTTTCCAGGTTAGAAGACAGTGAAGGGATAAGGAACCGCAGACTGCAAACGTCCAGGGCTCTCAGGCTTAACTGAGTGCCCAGACACAGGACAGCAGGTGACCCCCCGGGTGGGGGAGTCGCTCCCCAGCAGGGTGCCCCCCAGCAGTGAGAGAAAGTGCTCGCTGAAGCAACGTGTGCGAATACTGCTGCAGTTAAAACGCGCTCCCTAAAAAGGACAGTCGGCACATCTGTCTGCCGCGGCTTGCGCTTGTTTTCACATGGCATTAAACTGCTATGACAGATTTCATAAAGTTTTATATAGTAATCAAGAAAGCTTCCAACAGGATGGGGACAAATGGCCAACAGCTGCTAACGTGGATTTCAGAGCAAGATGATTTTTTTTCAAGAGAGATTCCAAGACCACGGGAGAGGAGTGTCGCAGTGGCAATCCTGACATAGGAGAAGCCAGCTCCTCCGGGACACCAAACTGGGCTCAGCTTCTTTGGGGGCAGGCGCCGAAGAGAAAGCCAGGGAACAGCCCCAGACCTTGGGGCTGAGCTGTGAGGACGAAACTGGTTTCCATAGGAGATAAGCTGAAAGCGTGGTGGGGGTCCCTGTAAGCCGTGCGGCCGAGAGCACGCTCCCTCAGGGCGGGTCTGCAGCATCCTCAACCCCAGAGACGCAGTTACAGAGTCTGCCCATGGCCTTCACCCGGCTATGACCTCCGAGATTCGAAGACTCTACAAGATGGACGATTTCTTAACAGGAAATGCCTTTCTGGTCCGATCTTGATGTTCTCTCACTTCCTAAACCCTGTGATTTTATCACTTCTATTACTGGCCTCGGTCAAAATGCATCTGCTAAAGTTTGACATTTGAAAGTCACTATGCCGTTAATTGTAGCTCATATTAAACTTAGAATCTAATACTCTAAGACCATACACTACCCCCGGTTCTGTTGCAGGACTTACTTTTCAAATATCCATTTTGCTTTCTCTGACTTGAAAGCTGACTATTTATCCATCTCAGTTGTACTCACGCTCCACCCCCATCACCCCCCCCCACCGCCGGTGACCCCAGCTCTCCAGCATCAGGCCTGCAACTGCACCTTCCTTCCTTGGGCGTCCGCCGCACCAACAACCTGTCATTGCTTTGCCTCCTGATCACTGTATGACTTAGGGCTTTCTGGGATATCCTGAATCATGCAAGGTCAGGGCACGGTGACAGAGTAAATCCTGGAGTAGCGGAGGATTTAGTACTTGTGAAACTGAACGGTCTACACGTGAGAGGCTGGTGAACACACTGTAGTTACCCTGTATTTGATGCTCTGACCAGCTGTCTTTACGGAGACAGACAAAATCCGAGTCATGAGAAAGACGTCTAGTGCCCCCAGGGCTGGGAGGGGCCGCCGTCCTCAGTGCGCTGGGTGTGAGGTTTGTCTGCAGCGGCTCCCAGAGGGAGCTGGGTCCTCGGCCGTCTCTGTCCAGCTGGTGGCCCTGCCAGCATCGGGCAGTCTTTGCGGGTGTCTGCTTGGTCACTGGAGTCGCTCTCTGTCTGGGTCGAGGTCTAAAAACCAGTGTTTTCCTCTCTGGGTGAGATGACTGGCAGAAAGACAGACCAGGAAATCAGTCCGTAAGGTAAAGGCCCGATTCTGGAGAAGCCAGAGACCTCTGATGGCGGGGTGGGGGTCCCTGCAACAGAAAGCCCACGTCCCCAGCAGGCGCCTGATGGTGTGAAAGCCCAGAGGCTCGGTTACACACTCCCAGCCGTTTTCTTGAAAAGACATTTTCAAAAATCCAAGTTCAGATTTTTCTCCATCTTTCTTAAAAAAAGGAGACCTGGTGTCAGGGGACGGCCTCCTGGGTGGGCTAGAAATGACCCTTGTGTGTACAGCCCTCCCCTGACTCTTGTAGGGACATTTGCGGGACCTTGTTTGTTCGTTGACTAGGTGCCACGTACGGAGGTCACATTCCTCACTGCACCAAGTACTCCCGGACACAGCAGAGGTGGCCGAGGGTGTGGCGCGTGTCAGCGTGTGTCTGCTCGGCCGAGGCGAGTCACGGCCGGCAGGGCCAGCATCAGCTTGCCCCGGGGCAGCCACGGTGGCCCAGAGCAGGAGAAGGGGCCGGGACCTGCGCTGTGGCCTCACTGGTTCTCCGTTTTCAGGGCGGCACGTGGTTGGGAAATGCTGCCTTTTCAGCTCACGTGTTTTCCCTGTGTCTCCTCCGGAGTACAGAACGGAGGTGTGGTGGAACCACAGCTCATTACCAAAGGGAAACCTGGATGTTGGTCATGAAAAGCGTCCCTACGAGGTTAAAAGGGTTCCAGTGAGTAACCTTATTACTGTTAGGTTAGAATGTCACTTACTTGTTCACAGGCCAGAAAGACCACAATGTCACCCTTCTCACCAGACCGGTGGATTTCAAAGATAAGGCGTAAAACAGACTCCAGAGCCTCCCTCTGAGCCCCGCTGTGGTACACGACCTCCACCGGGTGCCCACTGGCCACTTCCACGACGGGCGCGTGTCCGTAGTAAGAACTCAGCCTGCTGATCAGGGGTGGCGAGGCGTTAATTACGAGCTTCAGCTCCGGTCTCGCCAGCAACACGTCTTTAAGCAGTCCGAGCAACACGTCGGTCGCAATGCTTCTTTCATGTACGTCGTCTAGGATGACGACCCCATAGCTGCTCAGAAAGGGATTGGACATCATTTCTCTCTGCAACATGTCATCAGTACAATACCTGCAAGGAGGAAACGCTCAAGTTAGAATACGCTTGTGAGAAAGCGTGCCGGAAACCCTTAGGGACAACAGACGTGCCCTTGCTCTACCCTTTCCTCCAAACCAGGAGTTCTGTCTTCACTGGGGGCAAGAGTCCTCGAAGTTGATAAAATCCACAGACCTGCAAAACTGCAAAGTACACATGAGCAAGTTTTAAAGTTTATAAAGAGAACCCTAAGAACCCCTTCCGAGCCCCGGGTTATAGACGTCTGCCTCGGTGTTTGTCGCAGGCACTCTAACGAGAGAGCTACAGTCACCGTTTGCTCTGAGCTTCTAAAGCCAAGCGGTGTTGCAAGACACCCCTGGCAGGGACGCAGTTCCCCACCTCCCGTCAGTGGGAGGGCGCTGAGCCTTGTACTGTCCGAGGAGGGAGATGAGGGTGATTACTCCGGCTCGGGCTCATGGCCCTGTGAGCACATGGAGACTTCGTTGGTGACATTGTGGGAAAAGGTGTACAGTAGTGGCACAAGTGCGAAATGCTGCCCAAACAATGACCAATCAAAAGCATGGAAAACATAATCACCTATTTAAGGGCGGCTTGAAAATGGGCCAGTGATGTTAATAGAATTGTCCATTTTATGGACAATTGGGATTATGTTTTTTAAAATCGTTATTTATTACTAAAGATAACTTATTATTGTTGGCCATCTAACAATACACGGACATCTGACTGCTTACATGTTCACATGTATGTTCCTTGGAGAAACCAACCCTGTAAATTTGCTGCCCACTTAAGGTGTCCTTGTACATGGCAGGCCCACCTGCAAGGCTGGCCCGGCCGGCCCTCGGGAACCGGGACTCGGTGGGGGTCCGCCCCAGGCGCAGGGCCCACCAAGGGCGGCTCCAGGTGTTTCCTCTCTGTGCCAACAACGCGGCCGCCCGGCCTTCCTTTGGGAGCTAGAGCGTCCGGACACAGGACACAGAGGTGCCCGCCTGTGTGACCACCCCCAGTAACCAGCCCCCTTCGCAGGGGGTCTCTCGTCAGCGTTCCCCGTGGGACCGCATACGTGCGCTCTCCCGACTCGCTGCTGGGGAACCAGCGTGTCCGGCCTGAGCCTGCTGGGAGAGGGGCGTGGAAGCTGGCGCCTGCTCTCCTGTGGACAGCAGTCACTCGTGCACGTCCCCCTCCGCTGGCTGCTCTGTGCCTCCACCGTGGCAGGTCACTGAAGCTGGGCGTGGACTGGGGGCCCTGGCCCAGGCCTCAATCAACCCCTTTCCAGAGAGAAACAAAAGGAAGGCCATGAACATGGACGGAGCCCTGAGCGTGCACTGGGCTCTGTGCTGGGCGGCACTCCTCACTTCGCCCTCAGACAGCATCATCCGGGTGGGCTCCCCGTCCCACGCGATGGAGGAGGAGGCCGAGGTTCAGAAGTGACGCGGTCCACACGCGTCACTGTGCCCGAGAGAAAGCCCAGACCGCCAGCTGCGCACCTGCCCCCTCTGTGACGAAGACTGCTTCCGCGGTCCCCAGGCCGGGCGACCGAGCCCGAGCTCTCCCTCTCGGCAATACCAGAGACCGGGTGTCTGCCGCTGCCTTTCTTTTCATGTGTGTTCTCATCCTGTGTCTCACCGGATGAGCGAGGACAGACTAGATTATTCCTTTGCTCCAGCGTAAAGAGATGCGGACCGAATCCTGCAGCATTATACTCAGTGCAAGATGCAAACAGCAACGTGTCCGAAACTTAGCGTTTCTGCTCATCTTCAGCTGATGTTAATTAGTGTGCTATAGTGAGGTAAGTTACTACTGCCTTAAAAACAAATTACTTTAACCTGTGGTGCTTCCGTACTGTTCAAAATTAAACCTCTATTTCTGCCTCAGCAAAACTCACGGGGCACCGACTCACAGGGAGGCACGTGCCCTGCAAGCTGGGCAGGCTCGTGCGCTGCACAGACGGGTCCAGGCTTCAGTGCAGAGGGAGGAGGTGGTGCCCTGGCTAAAGCCCTGGACACAGCAGGCCCTGCGGCCTGGCCTCCCCGAGGTGATACTGAGGGAACCCACGCTGGGTCCTAAAGCCTACTGCTTACACTCTCCACACGCGCAGCGCCCGCCCCTTCGGGCTAGTGAGCCCGTGAGCACGGTGCTTGAGAAAGTGCCGCTCCCGACAACTGCGTCAGAAAAAACAGACGCACCGCCCAAGGTTCAGGAAACGCAGCTTACATTTTAAATTCCAAACACAAAATTTCTGAAAGGTAAGAATTCAAAGAAGTTTCATGAACATTCTCTAAAGTTATACATATTGAATTTGACTGTGAATAAACATTTGAGTAATTCTTTTAAAACCTGTCTTCTAGAGCATCTGTATTTGAAGTCTGGGTGTCACTTCTACAAGTCTCGACATCTCGTTGAGAGAGACTGTTTCAGGTCTAGAGCATTCAGGTGTCCACTGTTTCAAAAAAGGCGAGAAAAAAGCTAAACGAAGAACAAAGCTGTTAACCATGGCATCAAAGGAAGGCAGCGGGCATGAAGGTCACAGTCACCGAGTGCCCAGCAGACCAGACGCTAACGGGTCAGAGAATAGGAAAAAGACGGCACCGACCACGGAACGGTGCCCTCTGTAACCAACAGTCGGCCCTAAACCCTCCTGTTCACACAGCTGCTCAGTCTGTGCTCATGAGTGATCCGGGCTGGCGTGCGTCCCCAGGAAAGTGCATCTGGTATTGACATACCTTAGTGGTGATAAAAGTCGCTACACATGCACGGCAGTCCCCCACATTGGCTCGTTCAGTCCTCACAACCACCCTGTGGGCATCTGGGAACCGCCCTGTTGTGGGGACAGGGAGCCCAGGCGCAGAGAGGCCGGGTGATGAGCATGGCTGCCGGTGAGCGGGTGCGGGACCCTCCTGTGCCGCCCCCTCCTCGGGGCACAGGGCACCCGGGGGGAATCGGGGACTGCTTCCTCTTGTCACGGGGGACTTTTCAGTCAACGGTTCTGGCTTCTTTGCGGCCACTCAAACCTTGTTCATAACAAGTCAGGGTATCTGCTGACCCGTACTGGCTGCGGCAGGTCGGGGGAACAGAAAGGACAGTGTCCCAGCACCAAGAGTAGGCGTGAAGTGAGGACGAAAAGACACGGAGAAAGCCAGGCAGCCCGGCAAAGAGGGAGGACGCAGCCCTGCAGCCGCCCAAGCCCCACCGGTCCACTAGCCTCCCCACTGCGCCCGTGGCAGCCCCACTGCGCCCGAACAACGCCCTCTTCTGTAGCCGGAAGGGACTCTGTGTGCCAGGGAGGACGAGACGGGCTCAGCACTGACGCAGTCCTTCCTTTGGCTCAGACGGAATGTCTGGGTGGGGCGGGGGCTCGCTGCAGAACCACCTGCGAACGGCAATCCCCGCCCACGCAGGTGCCTTTTTAAAGGTGAGCTGTGTCCTTGTCCTACGCCGACAAAGCCACTCGGCCTCTCCACAACTACTGGTCTCTGGGGCTTCCTGGCAAGTGACTTCATACACGTGTGGGATCCATGCCAGTTAAGGTAAAAACACAGTAACGTCTCCCTTCAGAAGCGACCACTGTCCTGCCCTCCGCTGTCCTGCCCGCCTGCACTCCGCCACGCTCACTCCGCCACCCGTCGTCACACCAGAAGGGAGCTTCCTCGTTGGGGTGTCGTGGCGTGCCGCTGTACCACGCAGACAGAGACACAACACTGCTCTCGACACGCCCGTCTCCCAGCCCTTGGAGTGGGCGGGCAGCGCCAGGGCAGCAAAGTCCTGGGCACGGTCATCTGTGGCTGCATGCAACTGTGACCGTGCCCTCGAGGTCTCTAAGATACCCCCGCTTTCTATGTGGGCTGATGTAAAGCTGCTTGGGAAACTCTGGCTCAGCGCAATGATTTCCACCCCCGTTTTCCTTTTAAAGATTTTATTTATTTTCATTTTTTTAGAGAGAGGGGAAGGGAGGAAGAAAGAGAAACATCACTGTGTAGTTGCCTCTCATGTGCCCCCTACTGGGGACCTGGCCCAAAACCCAGGCATGTGCCCAACTGGGAAATGAACTAGCCACCCTTTGGTTCACAGGCCAGCACTCAACCCAGTGAGCTATACCAGCCAGGGCTCTTTTCCTTTTCTTGTTTCTTCTGTGTGTTAAGCTCTTAAAGCCCCTTTGTGCAAAGGAAACCTCACAATGAAGTCAGACAAGAAAGTGCTAAGAGAAGGAGGTCTCTGTCCCCCCACACGTGGTGCCTGCCGAGAAGGCTTATTGGAACCGGCACGACTTGGAAGAGCACAGTGTGAAAACACGGCTCTAACGTGCCGTGATGAGGCCTGATGTCATCGGGGAAGCTGGCCGGGAGTGGGCGGCCCTCGCGTGGACAAGAAGGAATTAGTCCCAGGAGCACCATGGGCCTGGCCAGCAGAGGGGACGGCGTGCATGCCGAGGCCCGCGTGCACTAGGGCGGCACACGGATGACCCGTGAGGGGCCCTCCTGCGTGAGGGGGCTGGGGAAGCACCGCCCGAAGGTCTTTGGGGGGCAAACTAACGAGCCGTAGCCTTTCCCGAGCACCCGGGGTAGTCCCGGAGGAAGTGCAGACAGACGGGGGTCCCCACGGAGGCCAGTCCGGACACAAATGGTGCGTGACAGACCAGCCGTCACCCCGTGTCACTGGCGCTCCCCACACAGAACGCCGGGGATTGTAAAACCCACGCCGACGGCCAGCCGCTGGGCAGCACCGAGGAGCCCCAGACCTACCGCAGGATGGTCTCGCTGGAGCAGCAGTTCTCAAAAGGGATCACGTAGCCAACTTCATGGCCGATGTTCACGTCCATCTCGTCCGCCACGCGCAGGGCCAGCTGGACCGCGGTCTGCTGGTGCACCTGGGTGCACACCACGCCCCCGTGCTGGTAGTGGACGGAGAGGCAGTACTCGGCACACCACTGAGGAACCTGCGACGGGGACGGGAGACACGGTCAGCTGCAGCCGGGGAGGCGACAGAGCCGGGCTGGTCTTCTCCGGGGCTTTCTCCCCCGGGGGAGTCGCGTGGGCTGCCTGGCGTCCTAGCATGTGCAGCTCAGACTACCTGCGTTTACGCCGAGTTATTACTAGTAAGTAAGTGAAGAATAAAAAGGTGAAAGAAAGGAAGATAAACACAAAAAGCAAAATAAAAATGTTTTTAACCTCAGCTGTTTCTGAAAAGCACAGCTGAGGTTAAAGCAACGAGTCAATTTACAAATTGTTATTTTGTTACAAGAAAGCTCCTTCGAAAATACAGCTTGTGTATCAGCTACTGGGTTTCCAGCAACGCAAGCAAACATTTGGTGGCATGTAGGTGAGAAATGGCGGCTCAGAATTGAAGCATTTACATTGAAATCTAAACACACTAACACCACCAGACGAGCCTGCTCAACACGCCCCTGGTGTTAACATGGCGCAAACACGCCGGCACTGGTCACCCCAGCACGAAAGGGACGGCCACCAACCAACCAACCCGCCCAGGTCAGGGCCAGGGTCAAGGCTGCCCGCGGCCGTTCCCTTTCCAAGTGCCCTGATGGACAGCGAGTCACACTTCCATCGGTCGGTTTTATTGAGTTGAGTCGCGCAGGAACTAGTGCGTCCACCCACCTGCTGCGCTGCTAACGCACCATCAACAACTTTTGCTCTGTTACAGGTATTTTTAGGTTAATCGTTCCAAGAGTGGTTTTTAATAAAGTACTTAAATTTTAATATTTAGTTATTTTGACAGTGCTATCTTTTAGGCCCATCACGAAATTCCTAGCTTTGAATCCCCACAGAAATTTGAAAAATAAACATAACTTAGCAGAAATCACAAGAACTACAAGATGAATGACCTCCACAGCCGGCCTCTCCAGACTGCAGGTGCGGGTGCAGTTCCGGCACTTGCAGGAAGGTGTCAGCCTTGTCACCTACTCAGTAACAGGCGCCGGTGCCCTCGGTTCTCTCAGGGGTGGACACTTAAGATCCCGTGCTCAGGACACCTGGGACCCAATCAAGGCCCAACACAGGAAACAGCGAGGTGCCCCCGGGGCCCCAGGCAGGAGTTCTAGGCCTGGCCTGCCACCATTCTGTCCCCTGGAAGTCACGACTGCAGGAAGCTTCAATTTCCTTCCCTGTAAAAGGGGCTGAATGGATGGGCGCCACCCTGCAGTCTGGGTCCCTGGGGCACTTTCTCCCAGGCCCACTGCCAACCCCGGGCAGGAGGCCCCCGGGGACCAGGCGTCCTGCACCCGCTGGGCTGCCCCCGTGCTCCCCGCCCACTGGACCAGGCGCCGGGGAGAACAGCGGCCCCTCCGTCTGAGCCACCAGACAACCCAGGACTCGGTGCATGTTTGTCGGGGGAGCACGCCGCCGTCACACACGCCCCTCAAACAGGTTCCGGGTTTGTGACGCTGCGTGCTCCGGGGTCGCTGCACAGTCACCAGACCACCTCCTGGGAGTCGCCGGAGACCTTCTACTTTCCTCGTTCCCTGGCAAGTCACTTTTTATTCCTGCCAAACCCCTACTTTTTAACACGATCCCCTCTTGTCAATGTCCACCATGGGGGTCCCTAGCCAAGATCTCAGACATCGTCCTTGTGGAAAACTGTGTTTTGTTTTTTTTTTTAATTTTTTTATTGATTATGCTGTTACAGTTGTTCTATTCCCCCCTTCATTCCCCTCCACCCTACCCCCCCATCCCCACCATTACCCCCCCTTTAGTTTATGACCATGTATCTCAATTCCTTTAGATTCTATATTTCCCATGCTATTCTTGCCCCCCGCATCTATTTTCTATCTACTGTCTATGCTACTTATTTTCTGTACCTTCTCCCCCCCTTCTCCTCCTCCCACTCCCCTGTTGCTAACCCTCCTTGAGATCTTCATTTCTATGTTTCCACTCCTGATCTAGCTATCCTTTTAGTTTGCTTTTTTTGGGGTGTGGTTGTTAATAACTGTGAGTTTGTTGTCCTTTCACTGTTCATGTTTCTTTAACTTCTTTTTCTTAGATAAGTCCCTTTAACATTTCATATAATAAGGGCTTGGTGATGATGAACTCCTTGAATTTGATCTTATCTGAGAAGCAACTTATCTGTCCTTCCATTCTAAATGAAAGTTTTGCTGGATAGAGCAATCTTGGTTGTAGGTCTTTGGATTTCATGACTTGGAATACCTCTTTCCAGCCCCTTCTTGCCTGTAAGGTCTCTTTTGAGAAATCCGCTGACAGTCTGATGGGGACTCCTTTGTAGGTGACTGTCCCCTTAGCTCTTGCTGCTTCTAGGATTCTCTCCTTCATTTTAATTTTGGCTAATGTAATTATGATGTGCCTTGGTGTGTTCCTTCTTGGGTCCAACTTCTTTGGGACTCTCTGAGCTTCCTGGATTTCTTGGAAGTCTATTTCCTTTGCCAGAATGGGGAAATTCTCCCTTATTATTTGTTCAAATAAGTTTTCCACTGGTGGCTGTGCCTTTCCCCCTTCTGGTACCCCTATAATTCGGATGTTGGAGTGTTTAAAGATGTCCTGGAGGTTCCTAAGACTCTCCTCATTTCTTTGAATTCTTGCTTCTTGACTCTTTTCTGTTTGGCCATTATTTGCTTTCTTCTGGTCCACTCCATTGATTTGAGTCCCACTTTCCTTTTCATTGCTATTGGTGTCCTGTGCAATTCCATTCATTTCAATTAGTTTCACCTTCATATATTTGTCTAATTTGTCGGTATAATCAACCAGTTCTGTGAGGATCCTGATGACCAGTGTTTTAAACTGTGCGTCTGAGAGTTTTGCTATTTCTTCGTCGCTAGATTTATCTCTGGGGCTTTGAGGTCTTCTTGCGACATTTTTGGTCTGTTCTGGCCCTTTAAGTGAGAGAAGCGGCGCCTTGGATTCCCAGGTCGCTGGGTTGTGATGCTGTATGTGGGGGCGTGGCCAGAGCAGGGAAATGGCGACCCCCTCTGCCGCTTCTCACAGCTGGGTGTGGAGGAGCAGTGCCTTAGGTGGTTCACCTGGGCCGGGCCGCTCAGAGTCGCTGGGTTATGACGCTGTATGTGGAGGTGGGGTCAGAGCAGGGAAATGGCGGCGCCCTCCACTCCGGCCGTCGCCGTGGGGACCTGCCGGCCCGGTCCAACCGCCCACTCCCTCGCCTGTCCACCCTCGCACAAATGCGCGACCTCAGTCAACACGCAGCCCCAGGCCCGGCTGTCTCCCCCGCGATCACTCGCCTGGTGGCTCGCTCGGTCTCTCACTAGGTCCAACCCTGCGCCTGGATTGCGCGCGTCTGGATTCCGCGCCTGAGTCTGTCTGACCGAGACCTCCTGTGCAGCCCCGCTTCACCAGCCGCTGGTTTCGCCCCTTACAGGTCAGGCTGAAGAATTTGTTGTTAACGGACTTCCGAAAAGTTCAATTTTCCGTGTTCTGGCTGTGTTTTCTGTTGCTAATATTTAGTTGTCTCTAAACTTGGTTGTGTGAGAAGGCACGGCACATCCACCTATGCCTCCATCTTGGCGGAAGTCCGAAAACTGTGTTAAAGTCGTTTGTCTGAATCTCCATCTCCCCACTGGACTGGAGGACACCTGAACCGCACAGACATGGCTCCCACCTGCCTCAGTGCCTCACAGAGGACGCAGACACTCGGGCCATGAATGTCTGTGTGGGTGAGGACATCATGGTAATGAAAAGAAAGGAGAGACAGGCTTGAGCCGGGGCCGAGCAGGGAGGAAAGCAACAAACCCAAGGGACCCCGACTACAAAGGAAGAACGAGCATCGCTCACCAGAGACTCATGATGTTTAAGAAGAAACAAATACGCCAAGATCTCTAACTTCAGCTACAAAGGTAATGATGTCATTAGTAACAAGGAAGTGGAAAGTAATTGTTAAGGTCATCCTGACCTTGACCAGAGGACATCAAGGTGTAGCTATCCTGGGAGCAACCGAGAAGTCGGCCAGGAGCCAATGGGAGGGGCCGGAGCTCCAGACCGGCAGAGCAGGCCCTGGGGAGGAAGGCAGCGGGCCCCACCTTCCCCTCACGCAGGAGGGGCCTTGGGAGCCGGAGAGAAACCGGCCCAGCCAGGGCCAACCCAGGCCTCGGTGTCTCACCGAGGGTGACCCCTGGCACGCAGCACAGGACTTCCAAGCCTCGTTCTACAAGGGCGGTCGCGGAAGCCCGGGGATGCTCAGCATTCGACAATGTAATGACTCTCTCTGACCCAGTGGCACGTCAAAGGACAGTGGGAGGACCACGGCCTCTGCTTGGGGTGGCCAGGACTGTCGCTAAAGTAGACTGTCCAGTCTCACTAGCATGCTCCTGTGCACTCAGGCTGGCCGTCACTCTGAAGTCCAGGGCAGCTGCTTCCAAGTGTGAGCTCTACACCGGCGCGGCCATTATGGGCCAGGTTCCCAAGCTTCCGACTGCAGTTTACAGCTGCGTTTCCTGTGTTCCTATCTATTCCCGTGAGCAGATTTTGCAAGATTAGACCATCACAGTGTGTTTGTAATGGTGCACCCATCCCAGAGGCGTGGCAGTGCAGTGCCCACGCCAGCCCCACAGTCCTCATTTTCCCTGCAGCCTCCTTCCCGAGAGCACATGACTTCACGTCCGAGGCAGAGAAATTAACTCGGTGGGAGCGGCCCCTCTAAATATCAGCTGAGATCATATCAGCAGACTGAACCCGCAGGCGTTGTGCTTAATGCAGGGTGTTTGCCAAACTGCCAACGGCCAGGGAAACAGCTGAGCACGAGTCCCAGCCGATGGCAGAGAGACGGGCCGGCTGCACCCAGCGACCGGCCGTCAGTAACAGCCGCACAAGGACCCTCGCAGTGGGAATGTACGCCGAGGAGCCCCCCGAGGAGCCGCCGGGAGGAGTCACCTGCCCTCGCCACTGCCGTCTGCAGGCCAGCAGACCTCAATCACGTTGCACAACCTGAGGTCCGCTGCAGTTCGCTGCCCGGCCACTCAAAGCGCTGGCTGGAAAACAGCCTGACTCAGCAAGTGCTGGAAGTGCGAGTGTTTCCTTGTTTCCAGGGACCAGACGGGACAGTGTCACCAGGAGCTGCTGTGCTCTCTGCACTTATAACAAAGCCTGTGCCACCAGGGCACCTAACGCTCCTCACCAATGAAGCGCGTGCCTGTTGGGTCTCCTTCCCCTCTGCAGCCCCCTCTGGAGGAACCCCCTCCCCCCATAGGGCCCGGCATGAGGGACACGTTCTGAGTCGGCACCGGGAGAACGGGTGAGCTTCAGTACATGCACCTCTCCAGGGGCCAGAGAGAAACTCGGAGTCCTGGGCCGCTTTGGCTGAGGCTCACACACACTCACTACTTAGCAAAAGTTGTACGATTTGGTGGGGAAAAAAGGAAACCGCAGCCCTGGCTGGTGTAGCTCAGTGGATTGAGTGCAGGCCTGGGAATCAAGCAACCACGGTTCGATTCCCAGTCAGGGCACATGCCTAGGTTGCAGGCCAGTTCCCAGCAGGGGATGCACTAGAGGCAACCATACATTGATGTTTCTCTCCCTCTCTCCTTCCCCTCTAAACATAAATAAATATTTTAAAAATATACTGCTTGCTTTGCAACTTAAGAGTAAAATATATACTTCACTAAAATCAAAACCTTAGATTCGAGTGCAACAACAACAAGCCAGACAATAAATACCCGTGAACGATCTACCCTGGTTCTTTCCTCCTTGTAAGACCCCAAAATGTGTGGCTCCAGGCCTGGACTGTATCTGGCCACTCAGTTATTTCTTCTAGTCAGAAAAATAAGAATTTCCTTGCGAATTTCTGTAGCTCACTGAGCTTTACCTATAAATATATCCAAACATCTTGAGTATCGGACGGCTGGGCATGTAAACCTGGCAGTTAAATCCTCGAAGCTGTTGTGGGCAAAAAACAGGTATCGCATCCTTTAAAATATCATACGCGTAACGAGATGATTCACACGGGTTTTCTGCTGCTATCCTAAGAAAGTTCAGTGGCACAATACACACAGTTAACATCCATGTACGTATTAACTGTTCCTCGGCCAGCTTGGATATGGAAAATTAGGTCACTAATGTCTAGTTTGTTTCGCTTTTTGACTCAGATGTATCATTCCTGAAACAGAATGCTGGGCTGGCACTGGAACTCCTCCGGTGATAAAGCCCCCACCACCTAGAGCACGCGGTCCCCGCAGGGGCCACTCACCTGCGAGCTCTTGCCACACCTCGCGCCCCCGGAGACGATCACGACTTGGCTTTGAAGCAGGTTCTCCATGAAGGCGTACTTCTCTGTCCAGATGGGCAGAGCTTCTCTCTCCTTCAGAAGTTTATAATAACTCGATGAGTACGGCAGCCCATCGAAAGGGTTCAGCTCCAGATCCTCACAGGCCAGAAGCCCCTCTGAGTCCCCATCGTCGCTGGACCCAAGGGACCCGGGACAAGAGTGCTTCTCAGAGGCAGAGTCTGGGAAGGGCAGCGCTTCCTCCTCCATCTCGCCTATGGGGAGCTCAGGCGGTGGGCATCCCTGCTCAGGTGGCGGGCATGGCACAGCCCCACGTCCCTGACAGTCGTCCTCTGCCCTGGCACTTCGGTCACTGATGCCAGCTCCGCTGGCCGACCCTGAGGCCGGCAGTGCAAGGCTTGGGTGGCAGCCAAGGTCCCCCAGCTGGATCTCTAGTCCGCCGGTCCCCAGGGCGGCTCACTGTCCAAGGCCGTTGAGACCACACTGAAAACAAACACACGGACACGGAAAATTGGGTGGGCACGAGGCACTCACAGAAAGGACACCGCCACCTGGGACCACTGCCCTGCTTTGCTGCTGCTGGCTGCCCGCTGCCTGTCATCGCCTGTCACCGCCTCCTGTTTAAAGACCAGGGAAACGTCCAGCCTGTCAGCTGCCACGCTGTCCCAGGCAGTGCAGACAGGGGTCCAGCCGCGCCACACTCTCTGCCTGACCCCTGCACGGCCGGAGTCCTGACCCGGAGTCACATGCGAACACAGTGGCAGGGACGGCGGCATGGAGGCCCCACTGTGTGGTCACTGATCCCACCACTGAAGAGACGCTGGCCTGCGGAGAGCTCCCCAACACTGACCGCCGAGGGAAGTCTATTGTTGCTGTTTTTTTAATTAAGAAATCCTCGAGTTTAGCCAGAAACCACAGGCATGTTTTTTGGGGGATTCCAGGGTTTGGAGCCCAACCTGTCAGGTTCAAGAGGCAGCAGAAGACACATTTAATTTAAACGAAGGAGAGACACTACCTGGAAGGGCAGAGCTGACGGCGGTGCCTTCCCCTCTTCGGATAACCAGCTCGTTTTAACATCCAGTCATGCTGCCGGAAGTAAGCCCCTCACATTAACCAGGTGAAACTAAAAAGAGAAAGACTTTGGTGACAAAAAGAAAACAAATCCTAAAATACAGTCCATGCTATTTGGTCACTCAAATTGCTTCTTTTCAGCATCCCTCTTATCGTAACTGAGGCTTCAATTCAGGTTGTTTATGTTAGTGGCTCAAAAGGCCAGCTCCCAATCATGATCCAAGGTGCTCGCTCCACCAGCCCAGCCAGGCTCCGGGGCACGGCCACCCCCCAGGAGACCCGTGCTGACAGCCTCTCGGGGCCCCAGTGAATAAAGCAGCCCCCCTCCCCAGAAGCCCACTATGGAGGCTGGGCCAAGAGCAGGACAAAATGTTCACAAACTCACCCAGGGTGGTAGGGCACAAACACCATAAAACCAACAGCCACATGTAGCTCTTTCAGAGAGAGATACATTCACAAACTTTGAAAAACACACTTGTAAATCACCTGCATGGAGTCAGTGGAATATTTAATCTGAAACTTTATCTCCCAAGCATGTTATGCTTTGGTGATACTTTAATTGAAACTATGGATTTATCGTTACCGGAACTTTGAACTTTTAGAAGGTTACCTTTCTGCCTGCCTTTGTTTTGATTGGCCCAGAGCTCCAAAAGCACATTTTATTTGGTTTCTAGTGCCTACTCAAAACCCTTCTTGGACAGATAAGATAAAAACTCAGAATTTATTTTAAAAACTTTTTTTCTAGACTTCTAACAAGTTAACTTTGTTTCACTTTTAAGCAAACAAATCAAATATTAATCGGCTTTTTAAAAACTCTCAAAAATTTTGCCTTTAACTCATTGGTTAAAATGCACACCAAATGCAGCTTGTATAATCAACTAATTTTTTTAGCATCCTAGATTCTAGGGCGATTTACAGCTTTCCAACTTACGCACAGAACGACTCCCCGAGCTCAGCCAGGCACCAGCACGCCAGGCTCTCTGTGAGTTTACAAACCAAGTCAGATGACAGAGCCATGCTGGGTGCTTTTCAACCTTAGTTTGATGATTTTTCTTTACTGAATAACATTCTGAGTGTGCTCAAATATTAATTGGGCTTATTCACAGTCTAGTTACGTGGCAGAGCAAGGGGGTGAGGGCGAGTGACGGCTGTAGCCCACGCCCCCTCTGCCCCGGCCACAGCGAGCTGCCTCTGGGAGCTGCCTGACCCGGGAAGCCCTCCTGCCCTCGCACACAGCCCCCCTGGCCATTCTCTGTTCCCCTGACTAGCAACCCAGAACCCGGGGTTTCCCGACCCACTGAGGATGCTCAGTTGAGGCCTGCTGTGCGCCCGCATCAGGAATAACCCTCCACCTTTGAGAAGGTCCTTACACTGTGCAACCTACATTCGTTCACATCACATCCTCCTGTTTCACTTACACTGATTCTCACAACCCGGCTGTTAGAAACCACTGCAGGTTTTATTATTACTGCCAGTTACCAACGAGGAAATAGTAGCTTTGACTTTCCCATGGGGGCATGGCTAGAAATTCATTAAGTCATCCCTGGTCAAAGGCTTGTCCTCCGTCTATCATTCTCCCACTTAAACCGTCAGGTGCACACAGAAATCCCACTATGAGATAACGGGAATGCAGAAGCAGCCTGAATCACGGACTTAGCTCCTAAAATGTTCAAGCAGAGGCACTAGCCCTACACAGAGAAAACTCTACAAGAAGGAGTGTGTGACCAAGTGCCCATGTAGGAGAGAGCAGTGCCGTTAGCTGGCAGCAGCCTAACCCTGGCAGACTTTCTGGAAAGGGTAGTGGGGTTATATCACGCATGAGTAACAGGGCTGAGAGATGGGCATTCCTTGACTCCGACAATCTGAGTGCAAACCACGACAGGTCTGGAAGAAAAGAAAGCACAGCAAAAATGAAATGCTAACGGCTTTCAACAGTTGACTGAACTTACGAGTTTCAGAAAGTAACCAAGAAAAAGAGTAGCCTCACTCTAGTAAAACAGAAAATAAAAACTCAACAACAAAAATAAAAACTTCTTCCAACTTGTGATAGTAAGGCTAGGAAGTGGGAAAATGCATTCATTTGCTTTTTTTTTTTTAAACAAATGAACCTATCTGCATCAAACAATGTTAACTTCCGGCTAGAGTTATTTTTACTTTGAATTCTGAGATGGCCAAGAGATTTAATAAGAAGAAACGCTACATCTGTCTTTCCATTGCTACCTTGTTATTATTCCCTGGCATAGCGCTTTGGTTTGCTACTTTTAGTTCACCATCAGCAAAGTCAAACAATAAGGTTACTATTCTATCCAGTGATGAGCTTAGGAACTCAAAAACGACAAAACCTCTAGACTGTTGTTTTTCACTTGACCACCAATAGCACCTTGAACGTGGCAGAGGAAAACGAAACACAATGGTAGAAAGCCCCCTCAAAGGGAAAACCAACACCTTCTTCACCAGACATCTCAGGCCCTAGGCCTTCCGTGATTTTCTGATCGACCTTCTGACCTCCCCTTATCTGAATCAATTTCTCTAAAGCCCTTCTCCTGGGTTCAGCAGACAATTCCCAGGGTGGCACTGCGGGGAGAGACAAACTGAACGCGGTCCCTGCTGCAGACTTTCCGTCCCCCATCTCCCTCTCCCACCAGTGATCTCTGCCCCAAGTACACTGTCCCCTGAAGTCACATCATGGTGTCCCCTATGACCCTTGTCCATGCAGCATCAACTTCACGCCACTGAGAAAGTCGTCCTTCCACTCCGCTGTGAAGCACTTCTCGAACCAACAGCTCCATTTTCCCACCCTTTAAATCTGCAACTGCCAAATTTCCGAGCCCTTGCTACTTTAGCTCAGAGATCTGCAATTTATTTTTAACATTCTTTTTTTGCCTTCTTTTTTAAAATGGGCATTTGCCTAATCCTTTACTGTTTGGGGAAATGTAACCCTACCTCTTTTTTTTTTTTTTTAGTGTTAATAAATGCCAACCTTTTTATCACTATCTTGTCACTTTTGATTATAATATTACTCATAAGCACCACTGTTTCTTGGATGAGAAGACCAACCCATGATTTTGCTAATGATTTGAAAACATGCAACACAGAACTGTTGATCGCATAATATTCCCTGTAACAATGCACCACCCCATCTTTGCATTTCCGAAACAGCTGGGTAAGGCACCACGCAGTGTTCACTTTCCAACCTGAATTTATCACTTTCATATTTTAGCTGATGAGTTATGGGTTCTGTTCTCTGTCACACTGCTTGCCAGTACCCACACGTAAAGCTTCTTGCTTGGACTATTAATCTGGAAGAGTCCCCATACAGTCAGAGGGGAAAGCCTAACCTAGTGCAACATAATAAATGGCTGTTTCCATCATAGAATACGTGCTTCTCTGGCTCAGTTAACCTCTGAATGATTCTGGTCCCAAGAGGAAGGTAATTCCCCTTGGTGCCCTTGTCATCTACGGAGTGGAAATCTCTCCATTGGCAAAGGATGAGATATCACTTACATGACCCGGGGAGGGCTCTTCTTCTCATTTCCCGTAGGGACAGTCTAGAGTGCCAGCAGGAACTGACCATGGGCCATAATCTCCAGGGCGGCCTGTGAGTCAATCAAGCGTCCACCACCCCCCAAGCACTTTCTCTCATTCGATTTCTTCTCCTTGCAGTTCGTTTTTTCCTTCACCTGAGACACGCCTGATGGTTTGCATTTTTTTTACCATCCCCCGGCTTCCTCCAGACGAAACCTGCACCCGTGTTTTACAAACCAGTCTTATGAAAGACCCTGGTGTGGGATGATGCTACATTTAACAGTCCTGTGGAGTTTGGGTACAAACCCTGTGGGCTGCTTCCGCAACTCCACCGAGCGCCGGGACGACTGAAACAAAACAGATACAAAAAAACTAGCCTAACCAGAAAGCTCCGAGCCGGGCCCACGGCCAGAAATGTGACACTTGGGATGACAGTGCCCCGCGGGGCCAGGACATTCTCCCAGGCTCGGGGGTCCAAGGGACATGTCTGACCGACTGAGGGCCGCAGTGGCTCCGACTGGCTCCGGGCTTCCTCTACCAGGGCCACGAGGGTCCCTCCCCGGGTCTGGGCCGCCGCCCGCCCGGCTGCCCAGGGATCCCCCTGCCGGTGGGGCGGGAGTGCAAACCTGGCCCCTCCCGCCGGGACTCGGGCGCCGGGGCAGCTGCGTCTCGGAGCCTGGACCCAGCGGTCTGGGGTCTCGGGTGGGCAGAGGCCCCGAGGCGGCGGGGGGCGCGCTGAGCCCCATGGCCGCAACAGGTACGCCGGGGCCTGGCTTTTACCTGCAGCGGCGGTTCCGAGTCCAGGGCCGGAGGCCCAGGCTCCGCCGCCCTTCCCCGCCGGGCAGGCCGAGCTCACAGACTCCCTGCCCCGACGGACGCCTCGGTACAGCGACGGGGGGCCCGCAGGTGCCCGCGCCCAAGGCCGGGACGCACGCCGCGCCGGGGACACGAGGGCCGCCAGAAAGGGCGCGACCCCCAGACCAGAACTCTGGGGCAGGATTCAGCCGGCGACGGGTCCGCCACCCCGGCTCCGCGGCCGGCGACGTGCGGGCCCTCGCGCGGGTCAGCGTTCCTCGCGGCTTTTGGTCCCTCCCTCTCGCCGTCCTCCCGGCCCCGCCCCCTGGTTGTCAGGACAACCTGAGCGACGCCGGCAGTGGAGCGCAGGCGTTGAAGGGGCGGTGCCGGTGGTGGCCGGTTGGGCCCGGGAGCTGTGGACATGGAGCCCCAGAGTAAGGGGGCCTGGCGGGCGGCCAAGGGGTCAGGGGGCTCCCCGGGAACGAGGAGGTGGGGGCGCCCCGCCGGCTTTTAACGCTTTCGACGCGAAAATACGGTTCCTCCCTCGCGCTTTTCTATTTGGAAAGAAAAGGGGCTACACCTTGCCGGGGGTGGCCGCCGGGAGCGGGGTGGTGTGGCCAGGGACTGCGGCGCCCCCTGGGCGTTCCTCCGGGAATGAACCCTAGCAAGTCCACTTACTGTTACTATTACTGTCATTCTCATTATTCTGGTTAGTTGGGTTCATTCATTGCAAACAGTCAGCCTGCTTCTAAAACGTCAGCAGTTGGACCCGCACCGAGGCTGGGTCTTGCATTCATTAGAGACCCTGTCCTCTCCCCTCGTACTCTTTGACTTAACGGAGAAAAAAGAAAGAAAAGAAAAGAGCTTTATCTAAGCATATTTGATTAGTTGCTAGATGTTCTACAAGGCAGGACACGCAGGAAAATATTTTTCCTGTTAGTGTTTCACAGATTATTTGGCAAAAGCTGTGCATTCTGCAATGATCAGATCTAACAGGAGCGCTGAACTTTTTTTCAAACTTCTCTAGCGCCCTAGCGCTTGGCCCTTCTTTCCCAAGTTAGTTTTGTTCCTTTTGTTCCTAAAATGAGACCAGTGTTTTCTACCAGGACTTGAAAGATCTTAAACGTTTGTGGAAGGATGCAGTTGGATTCTCAAAACCATCTTTGTTTGCACAGTTTCAGAAATGGAAGTACTTAGACCAAATCCATTCTCTAGGAGAAATGCTGGCATTTTTTTTCCAGGCCATTAGTTTTCAACAAGATTTTAAAACTTTCTTTTAAACTCAGTTGCTGAGGAGAGAGCCTGCAAGTTGTGCGTTAGTCACTTGAGTTGATTTGTTGGTATCCTGCCATTGCATTTATAAATCTCTGGATTCTACATTTTATGGATCCTATGAAAGAAAATTAACATAACAACAATACTAAAATTGTTGTCTCGAGTCAGGCTGATGATGGGCTGTGTATGTTCCCTGTTCAGAGAAGCAATGAATGGAAGTGAAGTACATATTTCAAAGAGAGCAACTGTCTTTCTCCAGGTTTGTGTTATTATTTAGATGTATAAACTATACACTTCAAATTCTTCAGCATTCACTCATTCACTCATGCTGTCTAATATGCCACAGACACTGTCCTAGGGGTTGGGGACAGTAAGTGTGGCAGTGTTTTTTTGGGGCCATCCCTGGGAAACTGAGCAGATGTTGCCCCAAGAGCTACTGATGCCGCCCTAGGACCCAAGAGTAGGGGAGAAAAGGTGGTCCGAAGTCAGCTGGCGGGAAATAACATTAGGCAGAATGGTCCAGCAAAGAACGAGCAGAAGGAATTCCAGGCAGAGATCCTGAGACCTGGAAGGGCAGCGTGGGTTTGAGGCTCAGGGGAGGAAGATCTGTGGAGCTGTGGCTTAGGTGACTAAAGGGTAGGGTGGGGGAGAAAAGGGAGACGAGGCTGAGGAAGCCAACAGGAACCAGATGATGAAGGCTTTGGGAAACTAGGTCAGAAACTGATCGTGCAGTTGAATTACGTCTTATTTCCTTGGGTTTGGCAGTGGAAAGCATTTGTTAAGTAATCCATGCTTGGCAAATAATGAAATTTATTCCTTTCTACATACTCTTGAGTGCTTTTATCGATTTGATTTTAAATAATTCAAACAATCGCCATTTACCTTTGGGAATTCTTTCATAGGCTAATAAACACAGTTCTAGATAAATATTTACTAAATCATTTGCTACTATTAGTTAAAAGGACAAGATTAATAAATGACTTTTAAGGTCTGTTTTAACTTCAAAATTTATTTCCAATCAGATTTTCCCCAGGACTCATTATTTCATCGTCTCAGGGATATTGGAGATCCCTATGGATATATTACCAAGTATTACAATTATGTGTAACTATAATTATACTGTTATCAATATCAGGTTAAGAACGTATTATTTTATCAATATTATCTAACATTTTAAGCCGGATGTTTACAGGCTACCTTTTTTTTTTTTACTGATGGGTTTTGAATAGCACTTTACAAGAGTGGTTGAATATGGGGTCAGCAAATTGATTAAAAGGAAGGATTTTTTTTTGGTCTTTTAAGACTTCAGTGTATATCCAAGGAACTACTAGAAATTAGCTCCAAGTCAGTCTTTTCCATTTCTGTTTCCACACACTTAGTTTTCTGTTACTTTTAGGAATGATCTTTATTAACTGAGTCGTTAAAATCCGATAAACACAAACTCACACCTCACAGCTGGATTCTACTCTGGAAACAGGCAGAGGACCTCTGGGGCCACTGCCGTTTACTGAATAGTAGGTCAGTGATCCAGGAAGTGAGTCCTCGGGGAGGTGGGGACCGAGGAGCCCAGGCTGTTCCGAGTGGCCGGGCTCTTGGCTCACACGTCCACATCTTTAATTACTTTCTTCCTCAACTAACTACACTGTTGGAAAGATAACCCATGCATGAAATAGCAATGGCAAATGTACATCAAATTCCCTTTTTAAAAGAAAATATTTAAGTTCTCTCATTGCTCAGTGACAAATACAAGGGGCAGCTTTGGGGGTCTTCAGCCCTCCCTCTCATGACCTTTAGCCAACCGAGTCTGCTAAGCAAATACATTCTGGGCCCAAAAAAAAGTGTGTATTTACCTAATGCAGCATGAAGATAAGAACCCAGCTGTGACTTACAACCGCTTTGCAGCCTGCCCCTGAAACTCGCCCTAGACAAAAATCAGGGCCTCGTTTCCAGCAGTTTCCTGATACATACCTTCTCTAGGAGAGCAGTGCAGAGTGGAGAGCTAAGCTACCCCTGTGGCGAAGGGGTTGGGGCTTCTCTTTCTGCAGGAGGCTTCTGCTGGTCTTCCCCCACTTTGGGCAGGGTTTTGCTCTGTTTCCCATCACTGAAGCCAGAAGTCAGCGTCTTGCTAACTCTCCTCTCACTCACCACCTGTCCCACCAGCCCCGCCCACCGGCAGGGCTGTTTACTCCACCCTCAACACACACCCAAAGGCTTTTCCTCACTCCCTACCGTAATCTTGCCAGCCACATCGCAGGCTCTGTCCATTTCTGTCTTCCTCTCCGTACCCACTAGGGTCCTGCATCAGGAAGCCGGAGAGCATCACCTTGTTGGAATGCACATCAAATCCGGTGTCTCCCCGGCCCAAACGCTCCAGGTTCTTAGGATCTAGCTGCCTCTTCATACTCAACCCATATGTGATCTTGGCTACATTACGCTTAAGTCGTGTTGGTCTTTTAGTCCTTCAACGCATCAAGCTCCTTTCAGGACCCTGAGAGATTTTTCCCTCTGCCTGGGGCACTTCCCTCCTGCCCTGGCAGGTCGGACTCAGCGCCCTCTAGTCTTGGCTTACATGTCACCTCCTCCCTGAGTCCCTCCCTGAGTCCCTCAAGGAGGTAGTGCCCCTCCCTGACTCTGCTCTTGTCTCTTCCTAGCCATGATTACAGCTTGTAATTCTTTGGGGAATTGAAACAAATCTATTTCATCCCTCGTAGCTAACACGGGGGGCGGGGTTCCGGGCAGGCATTTGCCCAGTGGGTGCGTCGCTGTTAACAGCTGGCTACCTTCCCTGACGTTCTTTCCTTAACTGTCTTGTGTTGTGCTGTAAGAAGAAAGCCATTCTACTCTATGGCAGCGGGGGCTGTGTACCAGTGAAGCGTGAAATGCTCTTGTGGAGTAGTAGGCTCCAGGTCAAGTTCATTTAAACTGGGTGCTGATCAATGTCAGGTGGATTGCCAATATGGCGTTCCTCTTTCTTTACTAGACTAAATGAAGTATTTGAAGAATCTCATTCTATCCAGGAAAATAAAGGAAATAGGCAAATAATCTTATTTGGGGGCCCAAAGTACTGCCCGACCACAGATCCAACAAAATGTTGGGGCTACTGTGAGCACCGGTGTGTTGATGCCTGAGAGACTAATAAGAATTTGATGATGAATTACTTAAACCCAGGACATTTTTTAAAGCCTGTGTAGCAGTTTTTTTCAAGCAGTCTAAGCCCCTAAAGCATAGCAATTAGGTTGTAATTGAAATATTATCATTAAGAAATTAATGTGTGTATAAATCAAGTTTAAAAACTGAAACTAAAACAATTCCACAGCCACACCTTTTAAAGAAATAGCTGCAGTTTAAAGTCCCCATCAAAATACTGAAATTGACCACAGTCCTGACCTCCAGGTGCTCAGCCAGGCACAGGAAGGGGTGAAATGACTGGATGGCAGTGGCCTCTGTGTCTCGCTGGAGCTCAGTTTCACCCCAGCATCACCCCCGATCACTCTCCTCCCGACGCCGTGGGTCTGACGGCTGCTGATGGGGAGGAGAGAGCGCTGTCCCTGCAGGCCTGCTCTGGAGGGCCTGCCAGGTCTTGCTCAGGCCCTGCCCCAGGCAGCCAGTCAGATCACAGGAGGGGTGTGCATTCCAGCATCGCCCAAGAATAGCCGGAGTGACTCACCCCGTATGGAAGGTGGTGCAGATTGTTACAAGTAAACAGCTGACACCAGTGTTCGGTGCATGCCGGTGCCCACAGGGCTGGGAGGCAAGCCAGACATCCCGGAAGGTGCTTATCCCCCTCGGGTCCCTCCCCCCTGCATGCTGGGGGCAGTCCTTTCTCGGATTCCAGGTGCCAGTTCCTTTAGCTGTGCCCCGACCCCTTCCAGACCCTCCCTGGCCTTGTCTTCTTGGGAGGGTCCTCTCATTCTCCCACCCTCCTGTTTCCTTGTCTCTGCCTTGAACGTGCTCACCGCCTCCCCCCACCCCCTCCTGCCACCTGTCAGTCCTACCAAACGTCTCCAGCACATCGCCTTCCCTGGGAAACCTTGCTCCCCATTCACTGCCCGGGTGGCCTTCTTTCCTCCCTGTTGACTGGCTTCCTCTCTACTCTGCCCACATTTTGGAATAAGGTTACCAGTAGCCCCAGCTACATGTCATCAGTTTCAACCACCGG